TGAAGTTCAAAGGATAGGACTACATTAAATACTACTCAATTTGAGATCTATGTGACACGACTCCGTCGTCCTAAAAGAACATGCTCTAAGCTACCAACCTGTTACGGGAAGGGATACACTTTGGCTCCCCGTTGAAGACAGCTGCGTGGATAAGTATAAGTGCGAAAGAACTTCAGCATATATTTGGCCTGTGAGTTTGCTCGAGTAGCAACCCCCCCAAGACCCGCTATCGGAAGCGGTCTCCCTCACCTCACGGTCCGGGAGCTAAGCAAAGGCGAGGAGGTTAATACCCCTGAGAATATTAAGGAAAAGTCCAGGGACGACATGCGCCCTGAAAAATTTGGCTCTAAGCCCACTCTCGACAAAGTCGACCGAGTGGCCACCTACCGGCCCACCAAGTGAAGCATACCCACTCGAGGCCCCCAGGTCTACCTCTTTCAAGACAGACATCTACAACTTCACCCAAGTCTTTCGAAGAGTTCAACCCGCCAAACGAAGGGTACACAAGGTAAGAAAAGGTCCATACGCGGCATCGGGGTACCCCCTCCGACAGTCGGCAGTCCGGCACAGCGAGTGGTTTGGGGTCTCATCATCCAATTTGAGAATCACTCCACCACACCGCACCACCGACGGATCCATCTGATCTGGACAACTTTCAGGGATGCGACATCTCGTTGCTCGTCGAGAAGCATAAGGAGCGACTGGACGCTTCGTGAACGCCAGCCGACATTGACAATATTAGTGCCCAATTCAGAGCGCCCTACACTGCACATTCACGGTCAAATTACTGCAGTCGGCAGTCGATGCCTGCAACCACACGTGTTCATTCTACAGCGCATGGGCGGCAAGGGTCTATGGGGCCGCTTCGACCAGCTTGTCTGCTTTTTGGGCGGCCAGACGTCGCCGTTTCCCAACACGTCGCTGACTGTACGATCTTTAAATACCGTAAAAATGTTTTAAAAAGTTACTGACTGACTTTTCTATTATTTTCCGGTAAGTTGCGCAGTAGATGGTAGAAGGGGAACTGAAATATATATTAGACGTTTTAGTCTTCGGCACTCAAATCGGAACATTCCCTAAAACTCTCTTGTGCCTTTTTCATCAGTCGCCTCTTGCCATCAGTCGCCTCTTGCCATCAGTCGCCTCTTGCCATCAGTCGCCTCTTGCCATCAGTCGCTTCATGCCATCAGTCGCGGCTGTTCGGCTCGTCGCTTCATCTTTTTTTCATCATGTATCGAAACGTCGACACTCACTGGCTCTCTGTGCAGTGTCTCTGCTCATGCGAAACCGTCGATCTCTAACAAGTTCTTCTGAAGTTTTCTTGCAGTGCAAGCAGTACGACATGCTGATGCGTTATAAAAAAGCGCGTGCGTAGAACGCATTTTAAGCATAATGCCTAATCTGCCTAATTTTATTTCCATATGGTGCCAATTTCATTGTATTAGGCAGATTAGGCAGTTGCCTAGCCTGCTGATTAATCTCGAATGAAGGTGGACTATCATGCAGGTGTTTCTTCGTTGGCGTGCAGTTTGTGTTGTTAAAACTTTATGTGATGGCAAAAATCTTGAGAAAATTATATCAGTAGTAAGGAAATCTCTAGACAAAGATGTTGTTAACGGACCTTAGCGCACAACAAAACAATGGTTGCAATCATTGGGAGCAGGTTTTTGATTTGTTTTATCAATTGCTTTTCTGTAGTAAGTCTACTGCTTCCCTAAGCCATGCGCTTCATTCAAATTACTTGTTGACCCATTTCCTAACAACCCTCAGCGTCAAGTGACATCGTCTCTAGAGCTTTTAAGACACTTTTGTTCTCTTCGTCTCCCGTAGCAAAGACCAGATCCGTAAATTCGTTGATGACGGGTGTATAAGTCATCAAACTGGTGAAGTGCATCGGTACGCGCCGTATGCATGTCTCCAGGATTGTCCCGCCCATGGAACTATCTGTGGATGGTCGAACAACACACCATCCAGTCTCGTCGGAATGCATCCCTTGAAACAGTCCTTCACCTTCAGAAAACACCTTCCACACGACGACAACGCGATTGACCTCTTGAAACCGACGAGCAGCAGTTCGCTGCAGCAACGACACAGTTTCGCCCATTCGACGGCTTGTGATTCGAAACTTCATCGCTATTATATTGCCCGGGTCTTCCATCGTTTCATAAATTTCGCGGTCCTCTTGTCGGTGCTTTAGCTGAGCCCAATGCCATAATGACTGACAGATCTGCTTGTATTTGAATGGCAGTGTTTGTCGGTCAGCTTCCTGATAGTATTCCGTTTCTTTATCCTTGAATCTGGTAATTGCCGGAAACTCTTTTGTCATGGACGAATTGCAGGCAGTGATAACTTCATCAGTTTGCAAGTAGACAGTATGAAGTTCTCGAATAAACGTGTCAAATAGCGCCGAATCGGTCGGTGTAAGAAGCATTCGCTTTTTAAGTCGCGGCGTGTCTCCAAATTCATCGTTTGCAACCGATCCATCGTGAAGTCGCTTCTTCAAAAGTCCACACATGTTCTCAATCAATGTGGTTCGTGAACTGATGGCAGCTCGTAGCTGCTGCTGTTCCTTCTCAGCAGTTTCAAGATGATTCTTTTGTCGAGACGCAATGGATTTCCATAAATAGTTCAAAAGTGCACCGTCAGTGGATGGGGATGTCCGACCAGCGTCTGTTGAATCCTGTAACTTGTCAAGTTTAGCGGATAACTCGTCAATCTCTTTACGTAAAGATTCCTTTTCTTCCTTTTGTCGCTTGCGATATTCACTACGTCGAGCAGCATCCTTGGATCGACGTTGTTGTTGTTGAACGGTTAAGCGTTCCGAGTTAGCAGAGGCTGGCATAACTAGGGTCACAGCATTGTCGACTGGAATTGGTTCGAGGGGAAGCAAAGTTGGCATGAACGGATCTAGAAGAGATTCCACGTCCGGATAGAAATCATCTTGATGCAAATCATCACATGTTACTGCAGTTGAGAGAGCAAATTCATCGGATGTCTGAAAGAAGTCGACCAATTCGTCAAGTACCAAGTCGTCCATCACTTTTAATTTTCAACAATGATGATCTCGAGTACTTAGAATTTTGGAAGGTGAGAAATAGAGGGACTGGCTTCGTAACGAAGTATAGAGATGAGAAGTAAAACTACAGCATCCATATACGCAATCAGAGCGTATGCTTCGTAATCAATGCGGCAAGAGCGATCAGCAAAGCTGTATAGATTTGACAGTAGTATTGATGTTGCTAATGTTTATGAGCGCGACCTTTTCTCCATAACCAGATGAGAAGCGAGTGCCTTCTGCTTTGTTATATAATGTCTGTACGCCTTCCTATTGTGCAGCTAACTAACAGCAGCTGAGGATCGACAGTAAAAAGTAAAAGCTCAGCAAGAAATAGATCTACTTGAGAAGCGATCAGTCAATTTTTCTGACTACAAGCTAGTTGAGGAACAAAAATGTCGTCGAGAAAGTTTTTTGACGCTTGAAAGCCGGAATTATAACGTGCAGCTGCTTGGTAGAAGTGTTTGGTCAATTGACGATAGAGCTTGTCGAATAACAGCGACGTGTCTGACAATTGTTGAATGTTAGGTACCCAACAATAGACGAAAGCGAGAGCAATGCTATCAACTATGCGAGATGATACGTGAATGGAGGTTTGCATGTATTTGACATGTTTACCTTGGAAGAAATTGTAAGATGCTGTCTTCTGTATACGACATTTTGTCGACGTCGTTGTCAAACTTTTTCAGAGTTAATTTCTTGTCAATGACGCTAAGAATTTTTTCTATTTGTTTGAACTTGTTCGTCTGAGTAAGTGCAGGCTTGGTCCGCCCTGTCTTGCGTTTTGGTGTGCGGCAGCGGCACAAATGTTCGTTGCATCATCCCTGTTCTCTCTCAATTTTTTGCTGATGCGGACCATTCCGTCTCTCGTACAGAAATGGGTATACGCACTGTGTTCGCGTGTCCAACTCTCTTGGCCAGGGAAGTATTGCCCACTAGAAGCAAAATTTAAGCTGGTAGAAAAGGGTGATTCTGCTGCTGAGAAGGAGAGCTGATCGAGATTATGTTGGATATAGACGCAAGAATAAGGCTGTATTGTATGGGAATGATGTTGCAGGCGATACATTAAAGTATCTCACCTATCCAAATCTCGTGGGCTCGACACATGCAGTCAATTACTTAGTGGAGTGAGGAAGATGTTGATAAGTTGATTGCTAGTTACTGCAAGGGTATACCGTGGACACGCACAATCTTGAGATTGAGGCGGTGCCACGTGCTGAATATCGACCGCCACTCCGAAGCTCAGGACCGTTTATGGCTGAGAATCTCCGACGACAACAGCAGAAATTTGTGTTGGTGATTGAAAGACTTACATATTAAACCATGTGGCGCCGTAATTGAATTCCTTTCGTACCAGTAGTTTGCGTTCCTGGCCGTGAAGATGATGCAAATGGGATGGCCGCGTGTATGAGCTGCAACGCGCATTGCCAACGTGGATTTGTGGTGTGCATATCCTTGCACTGAGCAATTCGCCTTGGATCGCATTACCGCAGCTGAATTCATAAAGCTGTACAAAGAAATTATTCTGCACTTCCTCGTCTGTTGACCAGTTCACGGCAGATCCTTGTCTTGCAATAGCAATTTCATGCAAGTGCTGGCCACGAAATAAAATGACCAAAGAGCTCTAGGTGCAAGCCACGTTTTCGACCGTGATGCATTCACAACACCGTACATTACACCGATCTCACCGAGAAAGGAGTGCGTGATGCCAACTCTTTTTCGACATCGACACAACTAGGTCCGTTTTCTCAGTTCACTCAAAGAAATGGCTGATCCTTCTCAATCAACGCGTCTTTTTCTTTCTTCAGCCATCAACAAGAGTCAGTACAACACTAAAAAAACTGGCAGAGCAAGAAAACTTCTCTAGATTATAGCACATCAATGGATGAAACTCACACCATCGTAAGTTGTAGACTATCACTACGATCACTCCCGTTCCTGTTATTCAGTATCTGTACTTGGTCGAATAGTCTTTCGGCGAGATGACAAGGCCTCGACCTTTCCTGGCACCCCGATAGACCGTCTCAATGATGTCAATCATCTCGGTTTTATTATTAAAAGCCCAATTGATCTTGTTGTTATTGCCCGTACCCAAATCAATCATAATATGTTTATTTCGAAAGAAAAACATGACGGTACAGGGGTCATAGAGCTCGTACATGGTATTGAAATCCGGTACTTCCGTGATGTCTACCACATAAATCGCTGCAAAATTCTTGACGTCTTCTGCGACGCCGCACAACACTTCATCCATCTGCATACACGTCGGATCATGGTCATGACCAAAACGAATTACCACTACACGATCCCCTTCGTTTAAAATGGCTTGATCAACGGCCCAGCCGCTCTCTAAATGTGGCAATAAGTACGACATATTTGATTCGGGAAGGAACGAACACGAAGTGTCACATTCAAACCTCGTTCGAATGACTACTCACATCACTAGATCTTTCGAAACCCTGTTTACTATGATATTTACGCCAGTCTCTCAATTTAATACCTCAGGTTCTTTACATACAAACTGCTCTCCAATAATTCATTTCCTGATTAGCTAAAGTAGTTACCATCACTCTGAGTGCGCCAGCATGGCGTCGGGGGTCTCTCTTGGTTCTGTCGCTCTCTGCCTGTCACTCTTCTTTCTCTCCAGCTTAGTCCAAGCTTTAAAGCAACCACACTGCGCTGATTTTTTGCAGCACTGCGCCTGGAACGCCAGCACATCTTCGTGTGAGTTTCGCAAGTCCATTTCCTTTGTCTGTGGTCCTCGTAACGTATCAATTTATCGAGGTTTCACGGCCAATACTACATTATCTTTTCCTGATGACGATAACGAGCCTAAAGCTGCAGCAATTGCAGGATTTACGTGCCATTGGGACGTGGCAGGGGCTCTTCAGGTGGCACCAAATGTGACTGTCGCTGTAAATGGTGATGACTGTTTACTGCATATTGGATCCGGTCAAATGGTGTTAATAGGGGCCAAAGCAATGCTTCGTGCTTCGTCATTAAGTATTGAAGCGTCATTTGTACATTTGGAAGTCGAGGCACAGATTGCAGCGTCTTATAGTGGCACATTTCGTGGTAATCACGGATTTTTCACAGGAACGGATGTATTTGGTGCAAGTAATGGAGGAGGAGGTGGTCAGCGATTGATTGCAAATGCGACCATTCTTACACAACAGACGACAAGAGGGTTTTTTGATGTAAGAGGTCGTACATTGGAAATGCAGCTGATGAACGAGAAAGAAGCACTTTTAATGAAAAGTAGTGCTGGGTGGGAGTTTGCAGATTTGTGGGCAATGGAGAAAGAGCTGATGGCGAACCCAGCGGTTTCGGGGGTTGAGAGAGACCCGAGTGCGATGATTGCACCGTTTCTTCTTGGAAGTGGCAGTCGAGTGGTAATTGATGGAGCCGGACGTGCTGTTACGGTGAATGGAGGTGGACGAATTCAGATCAAAGCATCAAAAGATGTCGTGGTGATGGATGGTGCTATTATTCAGGCAAACGGAGCGTCTGCTGTTGAGGGAGTAAGTGGCGGGTCAGGAGGTTCCGTCTATATATCAGCAAATGCACTGTCGCTGAGCGGTGATATTCAGGCTAAAGGAGGGGATGCGTTTTGCACAAAAGACGCTTCAGAGCGTGGCATCACTCACTGCTTTCCTGCAGGTGGTGGTGGTCGTGTACAGATCACGTACATGTCGAGTCAGTTAGATACCAAAGCGATCGACGCAACTGGCGGAACGCTCAGCTTAGACCAAACGAAGAAACTTTTGACAAAAAGAAAGCGCTTTCGCCACGTGCAGATTTCAGCACTTGCTGGTGCAGCGGGTACGTACTATCAGGTGGTTCAGCATTCGGACGGAGTGCAAGAAGCCCAACTTATTGTTAATAACGACATGCAGCATCTACGACCCAACCATATTCAAAGCGAAGACGGAAAAGAAGCGATTGATATTAATGATATGGATACAGTTATCGGTGGTGCTGTCACGAGTTTATATGTTGGGGGTGACAAGGCAAGCAAGATCGATGCATTAACAATTTCAAATGGTGCTGTTGTCGCGACAGGCTGCCTGAAGTTGCCCGGGGGTGACTTGAAGGTTCTCAATGGCTCGTTTCTTTTGGATGCGTTACTGGTGGAATTTCCGCTCGAGCTACCTGATTCTATCAGCAACCACACGCCTCTTCTGCAGATTCGAGTGCGAGACATGATTGTTTCCAGTGGTTCACAAATGAGCATGCCGACTAGCGCACTGCAGCTTTCTGCTCGCTCTTTTTTGATGGATGCAACTGCAGCGCTAGAGTTCACGTGGAGTGCACAGATCATTACAAGCCAGAACATTCACATAGATGCGAACGTATCGAGTGCATTCAATCCTATTATCGCAGCTCCTGCGACAACAATGAATTCATTTACTTCATTGACTACGACCAAGCTATATGATAGTAAAATACTGTCCCTCGTGAGTGGGGGCGATGTTGCATTAGGTGGAATGATTGCTGTTGGAGCACTATCCGTATCATCGGAAGTTTCGATTTCAATTAATGGTCACCTTGAAGCGTTTAACATTCCCAGCATAAAATCAAATTTTCGCTCCTGTAAGGAACAGCAGTGGCAATCACTTCGTTTTATGAACGAAGAAGACTTGGAAACGAAAGTTGCGCATGATGGCTCTGAGATGGAGCCTACGATACCTGCCGTTCCCTCATATTTGCCTACAGCAAGTAACTTCACGTTGGAGCTACACGCACGGGGATCAATATATGTCGGTGAATCGGAAAAGAAAAAGCAACAACTTGAAATTGAGATTCAAGATGATGATGGCCTCCCTCCGCAGCCGGTTGGAACTTTACGTGGAGGGGCCGTCTTGTTGTGTGCAACCGACTCCGTCGAAATCTCGCAAGGGTCTATTATATCAGCGGATGGAGCAGGACAACTGGCAAACCAGGGCCCCGGCATGGGATCGTGTACTGGCTCCATCGGCGGTGGTGCAGGTTACGGTGGCCGCGGAGCTGACTCAAGCTTAGTAACCAAAATTGGCAGTTATGCGTCTGGTGGTCTGCCGTACGGAACACGATCTGGTGCAGGTATGCTAGGCTCGGGTGGCGGGTGTGTGAATGGCGGAAACGGTGGCGGCATCATTATTGTTGGTGCTTCTGGCCTCGTGCTAAATGGTGAAATCCAATGTAATGGTGACGGTGGTGCAAATGGTGCAGGAGGTGGCTCTGGTGGCTTTTTAGGACTTTCCGTAGCACAGTATCTGCGTGGTCATGGGCATATCAGCGCTGTGGGTGGTGGATCAGAATGTACCGATACTGTCACTACTGTCTCGAGTGACGCAATGTGGCACGATCCAACACCTTTAATCGGAAATATTCAAGATGAGGCCGCTGACAAACAGGAAGCGGCACAATCACCGATGAGTTCAACTGTTGCTCCTCGCCTATGCGGCGGTGGCGGTGGAGGTGGACGTCTGCAGCTTACGGGCTGCAAACTAAGTCCATTCAGTCGGTGTACTAAAGAATTTGACGGCAACTACACAGTGGCAGGAGGTGCCACCTCGTACAAATTGGCTAATATCGATGGCGACACTCCGGCATTACCAGCGCCCATCCCTGCACCCATTCTTCCAGCAGGTGCGAGTGGGTCATTCTTTGGTTTTCCATGCCCGCCTGGTTCTGGCGGACTCTTCTGCCGCTTGTGCGCCGTGGGGAAATACAAGTCAGAAAGCAACAGTGCTGAATGCGTCGTGTGCACCAACGCACCAGCAAACGCGCACTACATTGGATCTGGCGCCACTAGTGCGCGTTGTGATTGGGCATGTGACCCCGGATATTCAGGATATTACTGCGTGTCGCCCATTCAACAGCTACTGGACGCGTGCGGCGGCGAGTTTGGTTTTGCTCTTGTACTAATGAGCATAGTGACCTTCTTTATTTTGCTGGGATACGCTTGTCGAAACCGCAAGGAGCCCTCGTACACTCGCATGTACAACAGTCGAGGTACGAAGGGTGAACGGCAGCATTTACTGTCTTCTGCTGTAGCCAACTCGCAGCGTAGCTGGTATGCATTGCTATTTCGCTGTTTTTACTGGCCTCGGGTTGGCTACCCAAAGCTTATGGAGCGTGATCTACCTGAGCACATGGCACGACTCTATTTTGCCGGGTACAACGATCCAGCCTCTCCGTTAAAGCTCCGCACGACAGTCCCACCATCTCTTAAGAAGGTCCTGTATGACGTTGAGTTCAGAAACTTGGCGGACCGAATCAACCGCGTTCTAGCTTGGCAGCGTGGTCCATGCTCTAGCTGGGGGAAGATCGTGCATTTTTTAGTGGCATTATTATGCTACCCGTTCGCGTCCGAAGTAAAACTCTTCCGACGGCATATTCGTGTGAACGAGCTCAAGCGGATCGTTGCGAAGTATAATCACGCCTGTATGAAGGGACCCCGAGCTCGCGGTCTACTTAACGCGGTAAAGCTCGGCTACTGTGCTGATTACTCGCTTGTCTATCTCGAGTTGTTGTACAAGGAGAGCTCCCAGTCGGTGTGCGTGCCCACGACAAAGGTCGGCAAACCGTCACTGCCGCTCGTGCTATTGTTTGCTGGATGTGGAACATATTTTTCACCGTTTTACTTGGACCCAAACGATTTGCTTGTGCGGTCCATTCCGCAATGCCCTGAACTGACGGCTTTTATTGATGAACCATGGATTGAATTTGTTGCAGAGCTTAACGAACTGTTGCGCGTCTTGCAGCGCGATGCGGTTTCACTTGTTGAGTCGCTTCTTCCTGTAGCTGTGTACTTGGAGAAACAACGCGCGCTATCTGCGTTGGGAAGTAACTCGAGCAAGCTTGGAGGATTACGTATCTATCTTGGTAGATTTTACGTGCAGGACGAGTTGAGTATGGGAGAGGAATTCAAGCTCGGCCTCTTCCTTTCGACAGCAAAAGAGTCGCTAGACAATGTCGGCAGCAACAATACCGCCAACCTCCAGCAACCTCCATCATCCAGTAGTCGACAAAGCTACGGGAACCATTGCACAAAAGATTCCAACTACTACAACATTAATGATGTGTACGGGTATGGTCGGGGGGATTCGATGGATTATCCTAGTCATCGTCATAAGTGTAGCATTGGCAATGACGGCATGCTCTACGATATGGGAGGGTGGGGCACAGCTTCAAACAACAACGGAGCATCACGCGGGAGGATTCGGAGTTCCACTGGTTCTGTAAGTGGTAACGCAGCTACCCAAAATCCAGTGAGTAGTATACGAGAAGAGGCACTCCGAATCCGATCTTCCAGCTCGTATGGAGACGGATTAGCAGGTAATGGGCATTCAGGGAGAGGTGAAAACTCAGACGATGTGTTGGTATTAATGGGATCGGGATCGGCGAAGAAGAAGAGTATCAACAACGCAACACATCAGTCTTCTTACGAAGGCTGGCTAGGACCTGTTGATGCTTCACTTCCCGTGCCGGGAGTACTCATTTGTGCGGATGAGCTTCGTGAACGCCTTGCTGATCGAGCACTACGACAAAGATTGATGGCGTTCCTTCGCTTTTACTTGATGCCTCGCAACTTGCCTCGCAGTAGCTCACTCAATCTGTCATGGATGCTAAGTATTTCATTGCTCACGCTTCTCATGGTGGATCTGGCAATTACTTTTGCCATTTTAGTCAACCTAAAATGCGTCACCGAAGGTGAAGTTGACCACGATTGCAGCGCCTCCATCATGGTGCCTGTGCTGCTGATGCCGCCGCTTGCACTCATTGTGTCGCCCATTGTGGGCATCATATCGTTGGCACTTTCGTCTTCAACCTTTACGCGTCGGTTTTCGGTCTGGAACGCTCTTTCCATGATCAGTGTTGGGATTGCCATATTAGCCTGCGTCGCACAATCTAGCCGGCTAGTAGCACCATGGTTTGCAGGTCCAGTACCCCTACTACCAGTGATTGCCATGGGTGTGAAGGCTGGCCAAGCTTATTTGGTGGAGCGCTACATCGCCTTTCAAGAAACTCAGCGTCGACGTCGCGGCTGGCGCGGCATCATGAAGCGCCGGCTCTCAGACGCCAGCATTCCGACCGAGTCACCCTAGTAAGTGAATGTATGACCAATTGGGAAAGTCATGCTATCTTAAATTCTTGTTTCTTGTTATTGTTTACTTCTCAGCTCGTCACCTCGCCCCAACACCCCCAACTATTGCCGACCAAGGGAATAACCGATACGAGGGCTACAACTAAAACCATGCTGAAGATATACCATTCAAAACGAAGTGAAGATTAAATGCGAGTATGAACTACAATTACAAAGACCAGATCATACAGCTCCGATCGTCTTTTGTAGCCAGCAACGCACCAGCGGACCGACATTTGAGATCCCAAAGCTGAAGCTATCAGCACCACGTACGTTAATGGAGGACCAAAGTGTTCGCGCAGGAGGAATTGCGTCGCCGTATTGGTTCTAGTTACACCGGCCTATGATCAGGAGTGTCCGCAGAGCGATTATTCTGGTCCGTATTGGCATCGATTCATAGCAGCAGCAGCATAATGTTTGCTTTTGCCATGATGTCCCAGTAGCAGCCCGACAGGTTCCACCAGACTAAAGTCATGCTCATTGGCAGATACATCAAATCATGAATCCAGCGTTATCAGGATCGATGGCCAGTACCGACCCTTGTCATTACAGCAAGCATTTCTCATTTGCATTATACTGACGGTGACTTACGGCTTGACGCATTTCCAAGGTTCATCATTTCGGGAGGGGTGTCACCCATTTGCCATCCCTTCCAGTGGCTATACGTTCTGAAACTCTATGGTGAGGCTAGGGTCTGAAGGATACGGAAAGCATATGTCGACGCATAAAAAGGCCTTAGCAGAAGTGGCATAACCCTCCAAACTTAATATCTAATCCTTCAATCCCTGCGCTTCGACCTCTTATATCGTATGCGAACTTACGTAACAATTCTCATTTTCTAATTTTCGTCATAGCGTACAGAAGGTGATACAAAAAACCCACACGCATTAGATAAAAAACCCAATCAGTTAATCATTTAACCCATGCAGCAGCAACGCGTTTTGGCTGATGGTTGGGGTCAACAGACCACCGGAAGTGTCTTTTGTGCCGATTCAAGTCTACGCTACATTTACGAGAACAACCATACAGTATCCCAGCACCAGCAACAAGCTCCAACTAAAATTCCAGGTCACATTTCAAGCCAGTCCAGTTCTTCTGGACCACCTTACAAGCACAAAATGAATCGGACGTTTGCTGGCAAACGATCTCGTGATTTTTTGACAAAAAATGTACAAGAAGAAAACGAAGGAATTGACCTTTTTGAAGTCGAAATTGCACGAGCTTGTACTGCTATTAGGAAACAAGAAGCAGAGTTACCACCTTCCTATCTAGAATGTTCCGTGTGTCTGAGCAGAAACGCAGTAGCAGAAATCGCTGCCTGTGGTCACACTTTTCATCCCCATTGTTTTTTACGCTGGTTTCGACGTAATCGATCGTGTCCAGTATGTCGTGGTTCAGTTGATACAATCCAATTGGCTCAATCATTGACGGTACAAAATGAACTTGAAGCTATTATGGCAGAATTGGAAGATGAGTCCATGCCATTAGTTGGTGAAAAACAGTCAGAAATGGACTTGATGGAGCTAGAGGATAGTCCGTTGTTACCAAGTTCAGATCAATTGATGTCGTTCTTAGAGACAGATTTTGAAACGGATATGGAACTTATGGCTTTGGATAATTTAAGCAATGATGTGGATACTTCCGGAGCTTTGGAATCGATATTGAAGCAAGAAGCTGCTGATGGAGAGGAGAATCAAAACATGGAGATGGAAGAATTGGTCGATACGGGATACAAACACGAAGTTCTGGCCATGAATACACAGACTTATATGGAATTTACTCCGGTGACGCCATCATTCGCACCCGCGTCGGCAATGCCAAATTACTGGAACGTACTGAACCAAGAAATGGCTCCGTCTATTGTACCACCAGCTCCAGCTGTGCCACCTCAGAGGATGGTGCATATTGCACCTAAGCCTGAGGTACAGCAGTCATTACCGGTGTGGACGACAGAAGAGACGTCCAAGATGCAAGTCTCTCAGCAGATACACAACCACCCGGTCCATGCTTCGACACATGCTGCACCTCGTGTGGTGTCGTGTCGATGCACTGGAGGATGTAGGAATGGACGCTGTGCCTGTGTGAAGGAGGGCGGCATGTGTGGTGCCTCTTGCCGATGCACTTCGTGCAAGAACCCCTTTTTGATGGTCAAGGCTGCCGGTGCTGACATTGATGCACTGCTAAAGGACGACTGCTTCATGCACAACGTTTCGAAGACTCGAGATATGGTGCAACGGCTACAGGAGGCTGTGGCTGTGCCATGTTGTGAAGGTACGATCAAGGTCGTTGACTGCGTGCAAGGCTACACATGCGAACCGTGCAAACGACGATACGACTTTTCATGGTGCATGAACAAGCTGCTCGCTAGTGAGCGCACGCCGCGCAACCACTGTGCGATCTGCAAGCGATGCTGCGACCACCGTGACGTGCACTGCCACAATTGCGGTCGCTGCTACTTTGCCGGCGTGGCAGCAAGTTTACCGTGTCCGTGCAAGGAAGCTTTGAGTTACAAAAAGCGCCGCGAGGCTGCAGCCAAGGACAAAGCTGAAGAAGCTGAGGAAGAAACTGAAGGCGAGTGCTCTATCATGTAGTGCCCATTTGTCTCTTTCCGACCACCACTGAGATCTGAAATTTTGCAAATCATGACAAATCGTGTCGTCACAAGTACTTTGTCCAGTTTTTGTGTGGCTCAACACACCTCGCCTCGTCGCACTTGAAGGCTGCCGTGCAAACTGTTCAATTGACAGCAAGGGCTGGTCCACGTACGCCTCGGTGCAACAGATCCGAGTAATTCAACAGCAGCCTCAAAAGATTTGAGTTTTGTGTCCACCATGACAAATGCAGTAGATCTAATCAGGTTGACTCGTCGACTCGGCTGAAGTTGTTTTCCAGGAAGCAGCGCTTGTCATCTCAACTTCTTTTGTAACTTCTAGTCATCGATGGGTTCCAGCACTAACCCCAGTTAATTTTGTGCTTTAATCACCTTCAGATCGTTCAAAAAGGCCACCACCTCCTGCGAAAATGTAGGAAAATCTACCTGGCCACTCCACTGCAAGCACTCGCCTTCCATCTTTGACGCTGCCTCAAGCTGCGGCGGCGTAAGAATCTCTTTGATGTAGCCGAGCAGGAAAACCTGGTAGAAAGACGCAAAGTCCACAGCTGCAACACGGTACAGCAGCTGAATGACCTCGTCTTGAAGCAGATTCATCTCGCCACGCGTCAGGAGATTCATGAGCGTTGAAAGGAATCCCATACGCAATTCACTTTGGAATCCTGTGAAAGCAAACAACCCCTGTGCCTTGTCAACCCGGTCCAGCAGCCCAAGTACTTGCTTACACAGCCGCGGAGCCAGATTCGAACCTTCTCGGCTCAATACACTTGCTAGACTTTGAAAAATTGACAGGAAGTACGTGTGCGCTTGGTCGGACGCGTAATTGCGTTCGCGGGCGCCATCAGGAGTAAACTGACCGGAATACACAATAAAGAAGCGGTAGTGTTTCTCCAGCAACTGCTCAACCAATGCCACAAAATAGCTTAGGATGACGAAATCACTTTCCGGATGGGAAAAGATCGGCTAGAGACAATGTAACGCATTTTAGACACAGTGACTGATGTTAGACGGCAAACAACTATGAACAGTAACTCAAATATGATCGTCGTACCTCTTTAAGCGGCCCGAAACACAAGTCAAGGATGTTGTGCAAGAACGAGGAAAAGACAGATGTCGGTTCCTCAACGACAATCTTCAGTAGCTGCAAAAAGCCGCAGAGAACCATCAGTCCTGCATTTCCTTGGCTATAAAGTCTGTTAAGAGGCAAATGACAGTCACTTATTAGAAGAACACAATAGCAACAGGTAGTAAGTAGGTTGCACGCACACTCCGGAAAGTTGCGAGTCATTGAAGATCTCCACGAACGTCCGCATGACCGCTGACACATTCTCCTTTTGCATCTCCTTGCGAACAGACTTGAGCAACTGAGCGTACACACGCACAATTTCGTTCACTACTTTTAGTGCACTCTTGATCTGATTATTCGACTGAGGCGTACTTGAAGCCGCCATTTTGCGAATGGTTGTAAAGTAAGTCGTCAGCAATGCCATCAACGACGGTAGCGTTGACTGAAAGACAGAAAAGAATGCGTCCTTAGCCACCTTCGGCTTTGTTTCAACCGAGCGAGCGAGGCAGCGCACTAAGTAGCAGTCCCGCCTCAGCTGAGCAACCATAGCATGCTCGAGGACGCGCTGCTCATTCTGATGCAACGCCAAAGCGGACTGGTTGATGGACTCACGAATTGGAACCAACAATGACCCATACCCATTCTCCCACTGCTGAGAAGATCCATCTGCAGCACCACTGCTGCCTCGTAGTGAAATCGCGGAATCTAGAATGGAGTTAGACATCGATGTGTAAAGACCACCCTGAATCGCCAGCGGTAAATGCAAACTGAACTGATGAACGTGTGCCTCAAGTTGGGTCATGGACGGGATCTGGACCATATCTTCGTATGACAATACGAAACCGAGGTTTGCAAGAAGCTGCATCGAGTTTTGCATGACCGGTAAAGGAGATGGCACAATGCTCGTATCAAGTGTCTGGAGAATTACCTGAATAACACTCTCCGAAGCATTTAGCACGTCCTGTCTTGCACCACTCTTGATCACGAATGGGATGCAACTCAAGCAACACCTGATGCTCGTGAGTGCTTCACACTGCAACTCGGCAAAGGCATCGCCCCGAGTGTGCAGTCTGTGCTGCGCCATGTATTCAGACATTTTGACAAACATGTGCAGGATCTGCCAGCCTGCCATTTGTTGGTTCATGTCGTTGCTAACGCTGTAATAGTAAGCACAGACACTGGAGAGAATTGCACAATTAGCCGTGAAGTCGCGAATAACGCATCGCTGCTGTTGCCACTGATCAGATTGCTGATCGATCACAGGAATCTCGTGGATGTGGAACAGCACCTTCTGCGCAGCATCTTGAACACGAGGCAGCATGTGCTCCAGTAGTGGAGGCGCACAAGAAGCTAGGGCCGCAATTCGTCGAATGAGTGCAATGCAATCCACAATAAACTGCTTCCTCTCTGAAAGCTCCACTATCGTTGCTGCTCCTCCAGAAGTATTTCCACTTGCAACATGCGTTTTAATTTGCGCCAGGTCCTGCAACGAAGCTATACCATACACTGCGTCCGTACTTTCCAAATCAAAAGCTGCACTGTTGTCCGCATCTTCGTGATCACCATGTGTTCCTGCATCATCTCCGTCGTCTAGCTCGTCCAACTGATTTCGGTTCGACTCGTACCCCACACGCTCCACAAGATGGAGCATCACGGCAACTAGGCCTTTCTCATAAGCCGTCAAAACTGTTCTCGTACGTTCATTTACTGCACTTTCATTCTGCGCTACCTCTTCAAGATATGACACAAACACCTCCCAGATGCTCAGACAATTGAGAAATCCTTCAACGTGTGGCTGTTTCGTCGTCAAAGCATAGACTGACTCCAAAAATGAAGGCAAAATTTCTCTATACTTGGAATTCTCTAATCTCTTCAAGTGTTGCGTCAAAAAGACTTCCACAAACGCGCTCAACTTGTCCAAGAATTGCTCTGTCGCTTTGCCAATCACTTGATCCTCTACTACCTTTTGCAACAATGGACACAATCCAACCATCACTTGCGCTACAATCTCATCCACTTGTGATGGTTCAAACCTTTTGCTCATTAATTCCGTTAGACATTGCAATGCCGTTGCACTCGACACACACATGTGTAAAGTGTAGCCATTTTCCCAATTCCTCACCAATTCAAATAGCAATGAAAGCCACGAGTTCGTCACATGATCTACCACTGGTGTCCAGGAAATTAAATTAGTTAATGTCGTCAATGCAACATTCGCCACGTGATCTTGTGTCATGACCAAATGTTGTTCCCTTGATTGAAGATCATGGCTACATTTTTGCAATATATTGGCTAATAGGTTCAAAATGGTTGGTAATTCTCGGATCAATTTTGTTTTGGCTTGCCGTTTTATTGTTGCAAAAATGGTCGTATCATCTCGTCCAAATTCATCCACTACAACATTCAAGAGTTTGAGTCCATTTTCACGAGATCGTTCCTCAGTTATAAGAGATTCCAATTGGGTGATAAAATTGGGCCATAATTGTGTCGTGTCGTTCCATTGTATTATTGCAATATCGGCCACTACTTTTCGCAATTTACGGTGGACAAAAGCGGGCACAGACGACGCTGATTGGAGGAAATCCCACACAAAATGGCGAATGGTTACTTGCTCGGAAATGGGGAAATGAACCCATTTTTTAGCCACATATTCTTCCAAAGTAGTAGCTGCAAACCAAAGCGAATATTCGTTTTGAGAGGTACGTAGCAGCTGGAATAGTACAGGTACACAGGCATCGGGTGTCTCTTTAAAATTTGTGAGTTGCTGCTCGAGCTGAATCTTGTCAGTGGAAGAGGTGGATGGGTCCAAGAGACGATGGAGCGCAGCCTCGACGTCGGCGATTATTGCGTCGGTGTTCATGGATAAAAGGGATTTTTTTGGACTGGTGGATTAAAGAGTGGGCGTTGTTTTGTGTCGTGCGGTACAACAGGACAGAATATAAGATATTTAAGTACGTGTTACGTTATGGGTTCACACTCGTATGCGGGTGAGAAGTGGCTTTTATTCGTCAGAGAAGAGCATGGATTTGTGTTTACGGCAGTAGTGACACAGGAAATGAGTGTGATTGCAGAGGTTCAAGTGGATGAGACGACGCTGAAAGAACACGTAGACCTGCAGCTATTAACAAGTGATTGTGGCTGGAATGTAGCCATTGTGTAAAGTACATCTAATTCTTGTAATGTTTATGTGTAGAGTGAGGAACTTGGGCTCGAGATAAAGTTAGAGGAATTTAAGACGCTATTCGTGGTAGGTACTGTCGATATTATTCATTTAACTCGTATATTACAAGGTCTCAAGGGTTGGAAATGAATTTGTTGTTGGTAGAAAACACTGGAGCAGCGTCAATGTGTGGATATACAAGTCGAGATGAAAGAAAAAACCAAGTCGGTGCAAAATGTTTATCTGTTGTTAACGTACAAGTTCAGTCCTACGATATCTCGAAAAGGAGTTTTCCAGTTGCCAATTGTAGCACCTGATGCTCCCAAGAGTATTGTAACATTGCTGGCAAGTATCCATGCCACGCCGCCACGTCCGATGCTGACCGAACAGCAGCAACGGGAGAAACTGGCAAAAGAATCATTGGCTGTGGCAATAAAAAAGAGCAGTGCTGATTCGACTGCAGTGAACCATGAAGCAAACATCCAAGAGATAAATGGAACTGCTGCAGCATCGCAGAGCTCAGCGAATGTTGCTATAACGACTGCAGAGGTGAACCCAAAGTTGCTCAAACGAAGACATGTCCCCACTGGAATTATGTAAGTGACCAAAGGTCTTGAAGTAGCTTATTGTAGATTTTTTTTGACCAATTGACGCTGCTCATTTGTTAAAAAGCAGGCGACGAAAAGGTCCTCGAGGTGCCAAGTTGGTAAAAAAGTAGCAGAAATGTATTTAAAAGGTCCGATTTAATGCATGTTTTTTGTGAATCTTCCAACTAAACTTACTTCTGGTACGGACCAAATGAGGAGTTAATTTAGTAGGACTAAAAATCAAATAATTGATCACTACTTGACATCCATTCAAGTTGATATGATAATGACCGAGATGTTGACGTCTAAGCAGTTTTCCAAGGACGATACTAAGCTGCCGATTGATACAACAGCTGCATCTGATGAAGAAGAAGAAGAAGATGAAGAAGAAGAAGAAGCTGGCAATGAACAGAGCAATGAAATAGAAGAAGAAGAAGAAGAAGAGGAAGAAGAAGAAGAAGAAGAAGAAGAAAAAGAGGAGGAGGAGAGAACTGACGAAAGTCATGACGTTGTGGGCTTTGGAGACGCTATGAACAAAATTCTGACACAAAATGTAGCAGAAGATGTGCAGCCAATTCTAGCCAAACGTACGACAGCACGTATGCGTGAGATTCAAAGCGACAAGAAAGAGACCAAGACAGCACGACTTAGCGCTGCTGAAAAGCGGGAGCGGGAGCAAAAAGACATGGTACTGCCGGACTATTCTACGGCTGGACAGGACCGTAAATTACGAATGATTGCAACAAAAGGAGGTGAGCGAGAAAAGTTTATTTGTTGTTTAGGCGGTAAGTGTACTGACAATAAGGTCTCTTGCTGTGTAGTGGTGGCTCTGTTTAATGCCATTGAAAAGCATCAGCATCATCAGAATGGTAGAAAGGATGATAAGAATGACAAGAAGGTGAAGGAGATGTCCAAGGATAACTTTTTAGGTCTATTAAAAGCATCGCAGCAAAAGACAGTGACGGACAAGCTTGTGAAGACTACCAAGAGTTCATGGTCTGTCGTACAAGACGACTTTATGATGGAAGCCAAGCTGAAGGACTGGGACAATCAACACGGCACGGAAGTAGGTCGAGTGCGACAAAAAGGTGACGCAGACGTTGAAGCAGTGGAAGATGTGGCATGGAAACAGGCTGGAGACGCTCTAGATAGTGACAATGAAGTTTCGAGAGACGCCAAAAAGACAAGCAACAAACGACAAAGAGTGTCTACAATCAAGAAGAAGAAGGACCAGAAGAAAGGCAAGCGCTCGTAAGATGATGGCAACATGTTAGACTAATGCACGAGACCGTATCGAAAAGACTGTAGCTTTTTTTCCTCTCCTTAAGAAATAGCCTAAGTCACTAAATAGAGGTACATAGTATTTCTGACATCTTGTCAAAAATCAAAGCCATTGAATTCCCATACGAAGGTGACCAATTGCACGTTATGGTAAAGCTCGTGGAGTACGCAGATAGCTCAGATGACGCCCTGGACAATGATTCGAATGATGGCAGTCAATGGTCATCCTTTGGTGAGATTCCGTCGAGTCCTAGCGATTCGTTCTCGTATCCCATGGAGTCTCTTGACAGTGAAGATGAAGATGAAGATGATGCTGCTTCTAGAGCATCTCTGGATATTTCTGGATCTGTTACAAGCTCGATGGGTACAGATGACTTGAATCCTGATAATAACATGGATGAGAAATCACTTGAAGAAGAAGAAGAAGAAGAAGAAGAGAATTGTAATTTTGACAATTTTGACAATCACGAAACTGTCAAGAATGTCAAGAATAAGCAAAATGACGAAGTTTGTTACGCATGGAAAGAATTACAAACTGCTTTTGAAATAAATGCATTTAAAAAACGTGGTGTGGACACATTATATCGTGGGGATGAACCTATGGTACTGGACGAGAAGACAGAAAAACAGCAGCAGGTCACTCAAGACAATGAGGTCAAAATTAGCTCCACTCATTTAAATGGTGAGACGGAACAGTCGAGTTTTCCAGCATTTTTTACCCCTGGGATTGCAAAACCAAAAACAATACGATCACAACGACGAAAAATGCCAACAAAGACTCACCCAACCGGAGTATCGCCGCAATTTTCGACGTTATTTACTGGAAAAGAACAGCAACAAGATTTAATGGATACTGATTTGTTTTCAATGCAAAATGTGGAGCCAAGTACTGAGAAATACACAAACATTCAACAAGTGAATGGACATCAGCCTTCGCAAATGGAGACTCCAACTGTTTCGTTACGAGTAAAGCAGACAGAGGCCAAGACACCAGGTTTTACATTTGGAAAACCAGTAGCAGCAGCGTTTGGAGAGTCAGGTGATGATACGCATATGCGTAGTCCAAGCCCAAAACGTACCGCTGCTGCGGCATCTTTTGTCCCAATTGAAGGTGGTTTTACGCTTGGACAAAGTGGTAAAAATTCCAAGCCTTACAAATTTTGCAATTTTGGAAGTAGTGGCAGCGAAGCAGCTATTTTTTCGGCAAAAACAACATCAAGTACCATGAACGATGGAGATAACGCTTGCATGCGCAGCCCAAGCGCGCATGAGAAACCTGCAAGCCAAAAGCCGACGACCGGTAAATTTTTGTTTGGTCAAGCATACAAGAATCGCAAACCGTTTTTTTTTCTCGAAAAAGAGAAACGAGTCGTTGGACTCGACGGAGTCAGTTTTTACTCCAAGCAGAGCACCACCAACCGGTGTGTCAGGAGTCTTATGTGGAACAAGTAAAGATCCCGTTGGCGACACTTCATCCGGTAGTTTTGGCACAAATCGCGCATCTACAGCAGCTTCTACGTTCTTTAGTACTGGAGTCGTAGGACGAAACTCAGACCGTCGGAAGAAGAAGGGCTCATCGTGCTCAACCTTTGCACCGATCTTAGAAAGTAACTCGAGCAAATCCCAGTTTTTTGCCTCGTCATCGACAATTGGATCCTCCATTTCCCAGTCAGCAACAGCCACTAGCCAGCAATCCAATACAATGTTTGCGAGTGGCGAGAGTAGCGAGCGGCCGAGTAATATGGCCTCAGCTGTACCCTTTAAAAAATCATTCGTCACAAGCACAGGTGGACCGGGTGCATTTAAGAACCCAAACGCTAAGACTGTTCCGGAGGCATTCCCGAACACGGATTTATTTACATTTCGAACTGATGGATCTGGCTCAGCTTCAAGTTCAGCCGCACCGACGATGTCAGGCGTTCCCGGGCAAGTTTCGCGGGACGAAGCCGTCTTTTGTGATTTGTTTGGATTCGGGGGTGCAAAGACCAACATGCCAACAAAAGGAGCCACTTTTCACTTTCCAGCTGACAATATATCATCTGTAACCGTTGGTAGCTTCCAAATTGGTTGTCACGATGCTCGAAAGAACCCGCGAGTGCGCACCAGGAAAAGCGGAGTGTTTACACACAAGAACAGTCCAAGGAAGGATGCCAAGGTAGGCGCTGCCGAGCCGGAGCCATCCCCCCGCTTTGGTTCGGCATCCTCATCGACGCCATCTCTATTCAGCATACACCATAGACGCACTCGCAAGAATGCGCGTCTAGGAAAATGTGAGCGCAGTCCTCCCGCAGATCCGTCTGTGAAACGCACTTTTCAGTGCGATAGGTCTTCACCACCATCTGATGGACAGCTTCATTCTCATGCGGTAAAACCTACGGCAGCGACAGGTTTTGGTTCTTCTATCGGGGCCACGTCTGCAAGTAACAATGGTTTTGGTGTTAAAACAGCTCAGCAACAAGATCAAAGCAGTGACCCCGGAGTTCTCTCTTCCCATCCACAGCAAGCCATATCCAGTACATCGCAACCACAAAACTCAAATCATTCATCAATATTCCGGCGAAATGGATCGAGAAAATCTACACAGATTCAGCAAACTAGCAACGGTGCTGGATCGCGCCGAATCCTCCGAGCAGCCCTTCGAAGTGTTGGTGTTAGTGGAGATCGTCCGGGCTCAGCGCCACCCACCATGACCAATTATGATGAGGGTGACGCTGAAATGGACAGCGATGACAAACAGGACTGGTTCGAATTGAAGCGTCTTGGTGGTGTTGCTTACTTTTCAAAACAATATGAAGACGCAGCCGAGTACTACCGTCAAAGTATTGAGCTTCTAGAGTCGCTTTCTGATGAAGACACAGTCATCAATACGGCCGAGATGAGAGCTAATAAGGCAAAGCTCCACGCGAACCGAGCGGCATCTCAGATGATGCTGATGCAGATAGCTGAAGCACAGCGCGAATGTCGGCGATCAATTGAGGTGGACGCTACGTATGCACGCGCATATCTTCGACTTGGTCGTATTCAAGTGCTACTTGGCGATACTGCTAACGCACAGGCAAACACTGATACTGCGAGGCATTTGATGGAAGGGCTTGACAATAAAGTAAGCAGTGGTGACGAAGCAGATTACGCGTCGCTTACCAAGATGGAAGCAAACATCAAGAAATTGACGACGTTACAAGGTGAGATCAAGTGGTATGTCGATAATGAAGACTTCGAACAAGCTCTCGTGCAGGCCAATCTAGCTTTGGCACTTGCACCATACTCTCGAAAGTTACAGGTTGAGAAGGCTCACATTCTACTTCGCCAACAGTACGTATTTATTTAATGTCCCCGCGGGAATTCTGGTGTTGGTATCTAATGTACGCATTGTGCTGGTGTTTTTGACAGAAAACTTGATCAGATTATTGAGTTTTTTACTTCTATTATCGAGAAACAACAAGGAAGTCAGGGGAAAATGTCTATTCCAGCGAGCACAAGCGAAGCGAACACGAAACCGCTGAAGGATAAAACTGTAGAAAAGATTGCCATGATTGGGATTGAGCTCGGTTTGTTATGGGCAACCACGCTGCACTACCAGAATAAAGTCGAAGACGCTGTCCAGATACTTGACGCGCTGGAAGTTGTGGCGCCTTGCAGCTCCCATGTGATACAGCTGAAATGGCAGTGGCACGATATGAAGCAGCTCAAGCATGATGGCAATGAACGCTTTAAACAAGGAAAGTATCAAGAGGCCGTGCGATTTTATTCAGAGGCGATGCAGATTGATCCGCAGCACCAGGAATACTGCGCAGTTATTTATTGCAACCGTTCGGCTGCTCAGATGGGATTGGAACAATATCGTACTGCGGTCTACGATTGCAACGAGGCACTGAAACGAAAACCAAATATGCCGCGCGCCCTGCTCCGTCGAGCCCGTTGTTATGTTGCGCTGAAGATGTATTATGAAGCAGTGAAGGACTTTGAGCAATATTTGCGTGAGCAACCTGGTACTGTGCCAGCTGATGCGACATCCGATGTTCGTCGAGAATGCAACGAGGCAAAGGCAGCTATAGCTAAAGCCCGAGAAGAAGTTAGACAGCGGGAGGCGGCAAAGAAGCGTACAGAGCGCCAACAACGCCACCAAAACTCACGACAGCGGACAGAATCATCGTGGAATGACAGCAAATTTTACGGTAACTACCGGCGAGGTGCAAATAGCAACAACAGGGGCGGTTATGGTAGCAGCAGATTTCAGTCGTCAGGTGGCAGTAGCAGGGCTTCATATATGGCGCCTAAGACTCAGCACCGCACATATTACGATGTTCTTGGAATCGAAAAGACATCGACGGTCCACCAAATTAGGAAAGCGTACCGCAAGCTTGCGCTTGTGTATCACCCAGGTATGCAGGTCGATTGGCAGCGACAATACTGTCACAGTAGATGCTTACCGTTTTGTGTTTGTATTTGCAGATAAAGCGAAGACATCGGCCTACGGTGATTTGTTCAAAGAGATGACAGCTGCGTACAACGTGCTATCTGACGAAAGTGCTCGCGCCAAGTACGACCATGAGTTGGTCTAGAACAGGTTTGGTAATTTCTACGAGAATTAACGTGAGCAGGTCACGAAGGACACGAGGGTTCTGTCTTGCAAGCGGTGTAGCAACCGGTCAAGAGTCAGTATGACGTATTTAAACGCTCGACGGTGCCGTCCATGGTAAGGCCTTCATTTTTCAGACTAGAAAATGTTGTCACGTAGAGGTTGGTGACATGTGTTCTCCGTGTGCTATAGCCTGAGTTCATGTAGGCACTTGTTTCTTTGGACTAGCTTGCAGTCCATCCGTCGTGTACGAGTCGTGTTGACGTGCTTTTGCGAGGTGGCTGCAGTTTCATGATCGAGGGGGCAATGACGTGGTTTAGTTGACGGTCTTACAAAAGGAGCTCATGGTCACGTTGCTAGATACAACATCGACAGCAACCAGATCGAGACAACCTGACATGATTACTGGATGGGACGTCAATGTTGCACATGGTCAAGCAAATACAAGGTGAAGTCGTCTTCTTTTGCCAAGGAGCATTGAACGGAAGAGGTCGTCCGCAACTCAAAGTATTTATCACCCGGGTGAACCTTCTTGTCACGGACTAAGCTATTATCAGTGAGGGCACCAGTGGTGATTCATGGCAAAAGGTAAGTCAAACAAACATTGTCTCTGATTGCCGTCCATGTATGGCAAACAAATGGTCATATCGAGTTTTCACGCCTAAGTGTTTGTTTCTTGACTGTTAGATCTTCTAACTTCAAATCGACGCAACCAACCAATTCCTCATTCACTCGTACTTGTTTCTTTCTTCTCCGTGTGCAGTTGAATCTTGTTACAGAACGCGATCACATTTGGTTGCAGATAAAGTGACTTGCGCACGTGACGTTTCTCATTGAGATATTCCTGTGCCTCTTGTGGGTCGAATCCGCGATTGGCCACCAACCAACACAAAGCCACCGCAGCACTTCGTCCAGTACCTCCTTTGCAATGGACGTACGTTCTCACACCTTGTTGTTTTTGAGTCTGAATGAATGCGACAGCCGCTTCCAATGCTTCAAGTGATGGTTCAATATGGTCCACCGTCGGAAGTCGAAGTTGCTGAATATGGTGTCGTTGATATTGGTTCTCGGGTCCTGCATATTCGTCGCACAAATTCACCACTGCACGGACCCCTCGAGACACTAGATTGTCCACATGCGGCATAAACGACATTGGTGCTGCCCCTAGCAAGACATGGGAATCCACGAGTGTCCAGTAGTTTTTACGCTTTGAAAAGTACGTGAGTGGCCACGTCGGGTAGAAATACACACGAGCTGCCACTTTGGCCAAGCTTTCAGGCAAGAAATGAAGCTGAAAGGCGCCGTACAACATCATCACGATGAGGATCCAAGCTTGCCAACTAGTCATGGCGTACACAAACATTGCCCAAGTCCAGGACGTCATCGGGGACTTTCAGGAATCAAGGTTGGGAATAAGTGCGAATAGAGATGAATGAGTTGGCTACATTAGAGCTCGAGTTAGCAGGCTTGGTTGGTTAATACTGTGCTGCTGTAGCTTGCTCCACATACTTGTCCGATGCCGTTTCGTAATCCGTGACAAACCACACCGCCGAATTCTTTTGCATGAACTTGAGAAAGTCATTGAGACGTGCCTGAATCTGAAGCAATTCGCGCGAAGAAATGTTGGAACTTGCGAGCAGAATTGGTAATCTCACTACAACATTAACATGCAGCATTAGTCGTTTACTTTACAATAACATCACTAGCACACAAGATCTACAACTTTCCAGAGTACGTACCAAAAAGACGAAGGAGATGTTCAGCGCCGTATATCTGTGAGAGCGGCACACCGTCCATCTGCTTCTGTCCAAGTTCCTGATACTGTCGACGCTCAATGCGATAGAGCAAGATCGAGCTCAAGGCTCGATCAAAGTAAGACTGTACTCCTTCCAAAATTCCCTGAATGTTCTTGTACTCCTTAACCTCATTGGCTTCACCGTCACGTACTTTACTCTTTTTAAACTCCAAGTACGTCTTGATAATCTACATGACCAGCAAATATCATCAAAAAAACACCCACCATAAAATCATCCCATATACCACCAATATCTACCACAACTTGTCTCTAATTCCTCGAAATCTCACCTGACTGACACTAGGTTTTCGAGGCAATGGTACAAGTTTTGGTGGTGTCTGGGTCACATTTTTCCAGTCCTGTACCAATTGTTTCTTGAGTGAAAAAGGCATGTGAAGATTAATCTGCTTACCCAGTACTTTATCTTCATAATTAGGTTCTTGAGGTCCCGTTAAGGTCTCGTATTCATTCTCAATGCTTCGTTTTAACCGTTTAAACGGGGATTTCAATGCACTCGAAGCGTCGACTCGCAATGTGCTTATTCTCGTCTTCTTTTTACGCGATCGTGTCGCTTTTTTCGCCTCAGCAACGTCTTCTTTTGCTTTTAATTGAAGCGCTCGATTTGCGGGTGTATCTTCTAAAACACGATCATGACGAACCCATTCGTCCCATTTTTTCGCCCATCCTTGATAATGGACATAATATTGCGTACTGAATGACGTCTCTCCTTCTTCTTCTTCATCATCTAATTGACCTTTTACACCTCGTCCATTGTCAATTTTAAGTACTTTGGCATCATAAATTAGAAGACCATGATATGCCAATACCGGGTCACCAACATTCACGACCATTAGATCAATTGACGACCTTAAGCTGATTGGTGGAAAAGTAACAAGTGTCGTTGTGTGGCTACACACAGATGAAAGTCGAGTGTGCCACGTGATATTGGTGTGTATAATTCTCTAATGTTTTAATCTTTTTTATAATGACTAAATATCATGAAGGTACATTTTTAATCGTAGTATATAAGACCTTAATCACTGTTTAAAACGTTGCATAAAGCACGTGGAAACTCCTTTTTATAGCAAAGTAGAGCGTAATTAGATCATTTGCCACCAACCTCTCTCTCTCTCTGCTACCCATGCTACTGTCTCTCGTCTTGTGTGAATACAACGATTCCATCGTTAGTAAACAGCCATACTATCCAGCAAAGGAATGTCCGTTTTCTCCGACATGTAGTCGAGATATTCGCGTAACTTGAGCGGCCATTTCAAGTCACGAACAATAGTTAGACCCCTTAACGTACCGAAAAAAATAATGTCGTCATAACTGAGTTTTTCATTCACCAAGTGATTGGAATGAAACATGGGGGCTAATTGTTCCAGAAACTTATTAGCCTCTTCCACAAGCTCTGGTGTCTTGGCCAGCACCTTTTCAAATGAGCCAATGGTTTTCTCCTTCTTGAGACGGTAATACTCACGGCTTTCAAGCCGGGCAAACTCCGCAAAAGGAGCCGCATGGAATCGTGGGTGATACAATTGACGAAATACATTAGCTGCATCTTTCATCCACTGGTTTAGTTCCGGTCGATTGGACGATGGAGCCAAAATGGTCGGACCACCATAATGTTCATCCACGTATTGAACGATATCCAAACTCTCTGGAAAAGTGTGACCATTGGCTAATTGAAGAATAGGAACTTGCTTGGATCCAACAAGGCCAATGGGAGTGATTTCGTCGTGGTTGGCCAAGAAGACGAGATCAAGTGGTACCTTTTTCAAACCAAAGATCATACGAGCACGTACGCAAAATGGACAATGATCATAAATGTAAAGTTTGGGTAAAGCTTTCAAATTCTTTCGCTTGCAAAGGAAGAACGCACTGGATGCAAGACCTACGGCTGAACCGATGACAAAAGTAGTGATCAACTTGGACATGTCCGACATGAAGATTTGGTGAATGATAATGAGAACCACTAGTTTTAGAAATGGTACAGAATAAAGAAAAACTATCGAACAAAAGTACAAAAACCTGAGAAGGTCTAAATTTTCAACAAACTATGATGTTAATTGATTTAGGCTGCCACAGATCTTGTTATTTTTAATTAATCTATAGTGAATTTGACGTCACAAATTTACTCGACGGCGGAAGCTCATGGTATATTTGCTGAATTATTTGTTTATGTGTACCTATCTACTATCTCGAGTCGACTGTCCTAGCACGAAAGAGACCTTTATACACCTACACTTCTAAGCCGTAGAAGCATATGAGTCCTTCCGCCATTCATCTTGCGTATAGAGCACTCTCACTGGCAGCTCAACACCTCCTAAGCCGAGCCTGTAGTGGTCGTTTTCGTCGTTGGAGGAGCTGCAGTCTTCGGGTCATAAGCTGCTGACATCAAATGGTGTACTGCAAATCCAGTAGTACCAGCTACCGCAGCACCCAATAGAAGAAGTGCCAATTTCTCGTACGGAACCTTATGCTTTGTTACATTATTCTTTCGGCCACTTCGGTCTAATAATTCGAGAGCCGTTTTCTGCAACTTCTCTTTTTCTTCAGCAAGAACTTCCATTTCAGTTTTAGTGCCAAAAACTTTCGTCGTGCTTGAAACTACTTGTTCTGCTATTCCTTCTACTACATTTGGTGGTCCTCTCTCCTCTTGGATATCGTCATTTCCACGAAGGTGGTGCACTTCAGTGCTATCAAAAGTCCGGTCGTCCAGAGAATACGTTTCGGCACTGATGAAGCTGTCGCAGCTCACGATAAACGTGGCCACGAATAACGTAACGAAGATGTTGAAACGCATGAGTAAATCTTTTCTCTCAATGGGTCTCGGGTATGAAGCAAGTTCTTGAATCAGTTGGGAATGGGAAATTCACTATGCAATCCCACGTGACACTTGCAATGACACTTCTTGCATTAAAATAGAGACTGTAAGATTTCAAATCTGACCAGATATTCCTGGATCGAATTGTAACAGAGGTCACGAAACTCGCGACAGCTTAAATCGCCACTGAGACTTCTTCGATTGGTTGATACGATTTGAAAGGCCTCATAGGTGCTTGTCCAGTCCAACAGCAAGGAATGATTGGTTGACCATTCATTAGCAACGTCTGATGCTGATTTCTATATAGGATACGCTACACGTCTGATATTCAACATGGTCGTGTAGTTTATGGCCAGATACAGGCTGTTCATACCGTTTTTCTGATCGAATTTCACTCATTCACTTCAATGTTATCGCTCGTATCTAATGATCAAGACTTACAAGCCCTATCAAATATTCAGAATCAAGAGAAATTACTAGAAAAAAATAGATAAAAAAGGTCGTTATGGATGACGAGGAGACATTGGTCGCTCCAGAAATCATCTTCATAGATGTTTATAGTAATGAGGTGGTGATACAGATATCACAGATCTCCTTCACCCAAATGTACAATTTAATTTATCTATAAACACATGATACCTCATTGCTGAGTATAGGATATGCCACCTCAAACTTCCCATTCCCCATGGCGATTCCTGGTTCATAACTCAGCATCACAATTACTTTTGCTGCAGAGTAAAAAAACTTTATACAAGATTGCAATATGGTGCTTTCCTTATGCGTTGACAATCTATCGACAGCACAAATGTCGCGTTGTTAGTAGCCTAGTCAAACGGGAACACAAATTTCAAATACTTTTTCCACTGCAAAACCAGACGGTGGCTCTTTCAAAGTCGACAAACTACTCAGGTCGAAGTTTATTGGCCTTCTTCATCTTCTCAACCAGTTGACGGTCTTCTTCAAAACGTTCACGTAGTGTCTTTAGTTCTGTATTTCCAATCACAACCAATCACTCAATACAACCACCTCATAACTCACACAAGACAAAAGTACTTCAACGTACGGCCTCGCTTCTTTTCACGCGTTTGAAACCGGTAGAAATTGTTAATCTCCTTGCTCTTTTGCTTCTTGGCAGGTCGAACCAGCACTTCATCTGCTTGGACAATACCACGTTTTTTGGTATTAACCACTGTCTGAAATCCATCATCGTCTACTTGATTCTTTAATTCTTCACGTCGACGCAAATCCTCCTCTTCTCTTTTATCAAACGACGCCATATAGCGATCCGCTATCTCCTTTAGGACCGACAATCCAGGACGATTACGACGGTACTTGGCTGCGTATGCTACTTCCAATCATCACATTAGAAGCTTTATCACTATATGAAAAGGGTATGAACAAATTACCTTGTAGACCGCATATTCTTCTTGGAATCGGTGTCTCTAAAGTATCGACTTGAAGCATTTTGTCCAGTGGTTCCTCGGCTTTAAACACAATGTGAGCAGTGCGAGTAGTTGTGATATCACTGGCAATATGTTCATCATCCTTTTCTTCGTAAAATTGTCCTCCAGAGCCAGCAACAACGTGTTGAATAGCACCAAGAGGTTCCAGACACGTTCGAAGCCACGTTTCCGATGTGTTGACAGGCAAATTTACCACGTATGCGGTACGATTAGCAGCTAAAACGGATTCAGTAGTAGCATTAGGCTTAGTATTGTGTTTTTTTGCATAAATAAAATGCTGGAACGAGCTGTGTGGTAATGGCAACGCGATGGCATGGTAACCCCCGAAGACCTTAGTAGACGTCATTGTAATTAACGGGTGGTTGACTAGCACGACAGATCAGAGGTTGTGATTCGTGGAAAAGATAAAAAATAGAATAGACTGTAATATTGAGGATTTATCGTAAAAAAGAAGGCGCTTTATTGGCAATTATAAGCGTTAAGTACGTGTGATTAAAAAAGCGGGACTACCACGGTGTCAAAAGGATGACTAAGCTTTTCTTTATGCTAATGGCACGCTGTAATCAACGCGAGTAGGTAGCGGACACATTAGACTGCAAGCAACGGATTAGCCAGCCGAACTACTTTTGACATCTCTTTTATTTTAAACCGAAGTTCTCTATTGTACTAATTAATACTGGAGGCGAACGACACTTCCTTGCGCATGCAACTATAACGTTAGTGTACTACATGTACTACTCACTTCAAGCGTTACAGGCTCGGTAGTCTGGTCATCCACGAACGTTCACCCACGATGTGCCCTTGATTTTGGAAGCTAGAAAGCATAACGCGAGAATTAAATATCTGTTCGCCGCTCTTGCGTGTTGTAGTCGTGAGAGGTCCGAGATGCGTCGGCACTTGCATTTCGTATGCTTTCCAGTCCGATGGACATGAACATGTTAACGCGATCACTTGGTAATCCCTGCGAGCGCAATAGATCACCGAGCTGCGAGAGAACTTGTGGCGCATTGGACATGGTCACCGTGTTATTTGATAACACGAACGCGCTCGAGCCTCGACTCCGCAAGAATGGATGGTTTAATAACCCTCTTTCTCCGGTGATTGGGGGTCGACGGCGATGGTCTCGCTGCAAGCAGGAGCGAATCACACCTTCCAGGTCTTGGTTCTGCAGCGAAGGAAACGAAATTGGTACAGCCGGATCGATGATACAGCGAAATTTGTCTATAATGCTGCGCACATCCGCGAATGGGGGCTTTGAATACACAATCTGATAGAGAATGCACCCTAGCGACCAAATGTCACTTGCACGTCCAACCTACGTAAAAGGAAAAAGATCAATGAGGTAAAACAACGTTGATACCGCAAACACTGTTATCTCCTACCTTCATCTTTCCTTCAGGATGGCGCTCGCCGTTAGGCAACGTATTGCCTTGTATAGCCTCAGGAGACATATAATTGACCGTGCCGATCTGACTGTCGCGTTCGATATTTGTCGTGTCGTTCGAAGGAATTGCCTTTGCGATTCCGAAATCGATAAGCTTCAGTGCACCATTTACAAACAAGAAATTTGCTGGTTTTAGATCGCCTAATATCAGTCACAAACATCGCGTAAGTACAAGGATATCACTCATGACATATCACCAGAACTGACCGTGAATAATTCGCATGCTGTGAATGGCATCAACAGCTTGAAGCATCTGAGTCCAAATTACTCGTAACAAATTTTCATCCATGCCGCCGTTCAAGTCGCGAAGTCGCTCGCTTAGATCGATCTCGCCATGTTCCATAATCTGAACAAAAAATACGCAGCAATATACGATGAACCCGCTTCATATGTCAAAAGCGCTATTTGTATCATACCACGTTGATCTGCCGCTGCTGAAGATCCTGCTCGGCAGCAATAAGCTTGATAATATGCGGATTTCCTTGTAATCTTTTCAGTAGATTTATTTCATTTGTGTACTGAGCAATGCTTTGTGCATCCAGCTTTTTCAACTTGATTCGCTTCAACGCGTATATCTTGAGATCGGGGCCAAGCATCCTGTAGACTTTACTACTACCGCCGCTTCCAATCTGCTCCAACTTTATGTACTTCAGACCGTTCACCTACAAATTCGGACAAAGCAACTATTATGATTTTTCACACCTGACAGAAGAAAGCAAAACTGAGCTGGACGCACCACGACTCTGCTCGTTAGCGATTCCAGTGCATCCCGTGACAAAGTGCTGCTCATTGACGCCACCGGTGGGGACGACGACGACGATACAGAGCTTGGTGAGCTCAGATCAGCTTGACTTTTTGTCAAAGGTACATGCAGGTCAATTTGTCGGCGCTTCGGGGAACGATAGTGATCATGTGCACGTATGCTGCTGCTACTTGGCAGCACATACGCTCCCAACGCTGTATCTTCTCTGCTATTCAATGAGCTTTGCAATCTAGGGGACCGAAAAAACTCAGGAGCAGAAGACTTGCTGTCGGATGCTGATACCTTCATCGAGACTGATCGTATGTCTCTGCTCTGCGGTAAGCGCTGCACCCCTACTGGTGGCACAGGCAGCACGTTAATTAATTTCTCTGGTGGTCGATTTTCGACAGAAGTCTTGAGTTGTGCTCCGATTTTTAGCGCGGGCTTTACAATTTTATCAAGCGAAACTTTAGTGTCCTTGCTGCCGGCGTGTGTGCCTTTGTCTTCCTTTTCCTTGTCTGGATTCCATTTCAATATATGGGAAATATCGCCCACATCGATTTTAGGCTTAGCCGTTATTTCTGACTTGATTGTAGGTAATGCACTGGTGGCCTTATCAGCCTCCCGACACTGTAAATTAAACCAGTGTCAACAAGTTAAGTGCAGCCCAACAAATCATCAAAATGATGGAAAAGCCCGCGAACCTCGATCGAAGCTGTTGGCTTATTCGGCATTGTTGGAGTGGTTTGACTCTCCATCATAGCGTCGTCGTCGTCGTCATCATCATCATTGTCATCTTCATCATCGCAATTGGTTGCAATCACTCGAAGTGGTGGTCCTCCTGTAGAAAAAAGATTTAACAAGTAGTTAGAGCTGTAGTGCGTCAACACTCACGCTGCTGCTCGCACCGAGTGTAAAACGCGCAGCTGGCTTTCTGGATGTAGACTGCGACTTATGACTCGATCGTGTCGGGAGCAAGGGTGTTGTAATTAACGGCGATTTGTTTCCACTACGTAATATCTTAGACACGGTCGAAAAACCTTCTCCATTTCGGCCATGGATGACTGGCGTCGCATTCGATGGCGTCTGAATCGAGCTCGAAGTAAGTGCATCTCGTCCTTTTGGTGTTGTATCCGATGGAACAGCCGAAGGATGAAGTGACGTTACTACACGACCACGTGGAGTAGTAGCAACTACTTTTCCACTATTCTGCATTCTATTGGTCGTAATATTGTCTTGTGTTCTCCTGAGTGCCTGCATCCTCGTCCGTAATGCTAGCACCTTTTGCTCTTGTGGTGAGCCCGAGAACGCCATCACCCAACCTGCTCTGCCTGCAATAACTCGTTGTAGTAGCTCCTCCTTCTGCATTGGCGTATAAGCGTCATTGTCTACTCCTTGCTCCAGAATCTCCTCCGCTGCTTCCTTATTTCCTACAAAAAACACCATGAGTATCTAGAATACCTCTCTCTTTCTCCATCACCACGTACCAGCTTCATACTCAAACGCCGCCTCTTCTTCATACCGCAACGGTTGTTTTTCTCCCACTCGTCGTTTTTTCATCTCCTGAAAATTCTGTCGTACCCCTTTCTCACTACTATTATCATTTATATAAAAAAGTCAATTTTCAATCTTCATACAAAAACCAAGTCTAAACAATCACTCACTCGCTCAACTTGGCCAACATGATACAAATCTCCGTGTACTCGGCCGTTTCCCGCGCTTTTTTCGAGTCAATGCACGTCAGTGCACGTCGAAGTAGTCGTAGCTTGTTATAAGGCCCTGGATTTCCACCCAGCGGGCAACGCAATAGCATCAGCCACTTAATGACCGACCGTGGAGCCTCTTTAAGTGCGATCACAAGTCGCAGACGCCGTTCCGTGGCCTTCTCCAGTAAGAAAATAGAACGTGCTGACTCTCCGATGTGTAGAATCTGTGTGAATTGCCCCTGGGCATCCGGATAACGCACCGTCGGCATTGGCAACTGGTCCATGAGTGACTCGAGCAGCACATTAGAGCTAGCGTTCGGCGCTAGGTTTTCCTTGTCGTCGGGGGGTTCCATAGTGATCTTGCGTCGCGTGGGCAGGTGTATAAGGGCTTCACGCGGACGCTTGCGGCCTTTGCGAGCCGGCGCGTCGTCGTTGCCGAGCGCTATGGTGGACGCAGAGAGTGCGCACTCGGAGTGATGGTCGCGCGCAATGGTGCGCAAAATGCGGAATCGACTTGAGGGTTATATTTTTGACCAATCAGTGAGCTCGATGGGTTCTTTTTTACAAATATGTAATAATGATAAGAAAGGCATGAAGGATAATCATGTCGGCCTGTTTTCGTGGGTCCGTGCTGTTATACTAGATACTTAACGAGTTGGCATGAGTGGGAGTGCGTACTTTATAGGGCGTAAAGAGCTCTTGACGTGGGTTAATGCATTGTGTGGAACAGAGTTGACGCGTGTAGAACAAACGTGCTCGGGTGCTGTCGCCTGTCAAGTATTGGACGCTGTGTATCCTGGTAGAATCTCCATGAGCAAAGTGAACTGGACAGCCTCACGGGAACATGATATTATGCGCAATTATAAGCTTTTACAACAGAGTTTTACGGCTTTGAAGATTGATAAACAGATTCCAGTGGACAGACTTATTCGTGGCAGATATCAGGACAATCTCGAGTTTTTACAATGGCTTAAGGCCTTCTATGACACACAACGGACTCTTCCGATGGTTTATGATGCCCGTTCTCAGCGTGCAAAGGGTAAAGGGGGAGATCAGTACATGTACAACAATAAGGTGGGTGAAAGACACACTTCAACGCCGTCGATGAAGAAGAAAGCGCGACTTGATGAACAGACGCCACGACGTCAAACGAGTCAACTTTATCGTCATGGAGAGACAAAGTCATCGGAGTATACAATCGTGCTGGAGAAAATGGAACACATGAAGATCACGAGTAAAGGACTATTAGAGGAGAAGGAAGGACTGATGATGCAGATCCATGAGCTGAATGAAGCTGTACGTTATTACTTGTGCTGTTGATGTCGAGTGTTGCTTATTTATTTCTTATTATGGATTGGGTTGGTTTTGTAGATCAAACGTACTAAAAAGGAACGTGATTTTTACATGAAGAAGCTCGAGATGATTGGAGAGCTGGTACATGAAGGCGAGCTCTCGAAGACGACGAGCGCACAGACCAACTTTCTTGGACTATCGATTCTTGATGTGATATATGCGACGGAGGAAGACGAACAGGAGCAGGAGCTGCTATTTTAAGACACCTATATAGCTTCTATGTCATGCTCAAAAAAGTACAGTACCGAGTACGATTGTAAGTGAGGCTGCTCATGCCATAACTTATTAGCCTAATTTAATAAACGAAGTCTAAAGATATCTATGGTGTAAGACAACACGATCTTAGAGCGTTTGTTGGCATTGCCATATACAGACCCTTTCACAAAATAAATCGACCTCGTCACATTAGATGCTCTAGCTGTGTGTCCTTTAAGGTAAGCTGGTTGCCACTGGCATTCCGACCGTCAGACCTCCGACAGTCAAAGTTCATGCCAGTGCCGCTTAGCAACTGTCGTTCATTATATCGAACTTTATCTCTATTTATTGGCATCGACTTTATAGACGCAACTAGGAAGACATTTATGCCCAAGTGTAGGTCTATACAAAACGGTACAGAGAAGAATATTATTCGAAACTTATCTTCTTAAATACGGATACCACGGTTAGGTTCCGTTTTCATAAAATCCGAATCTCGATAACCATCTGTTTACCGGCTACTTCAAGCTGAGCCCATTCGTACTTGAACGAGATCATAAAGTGACTCTCGCTTCCTGACTGCAGCATGGAGCCCGGCGTAAGTCTTAATGCCTCCTCGCACTCTACTGCCATGTGTTGGGCTGCATCTGAGGGCAATTTAGAAGCTATGCGTCAACTGCGGGAGGAACATGAAGCTGATGTGAACGCCACCGACTACGACAAGCGGTAGATAGTCAATATAGTAACAATGCTACCTGCATTTCCCCTAGTTATTATTTAAGATACTGTTGCTACTTGCCAGGACGCCCTTGCATATCGCCGTAAGTGATGAGCAGCTGGAGATGACGAGCTACTTGTTGCAGTGTGGAGCCAATGCGGAGGCACTCGATCGATGGGGATGCTCTCCTATTGACAATGCGATGGATACACAAAATGTAGCCATCTTACGTTTACTGAAACGTAAACATTACGGTAATTTTCCGGTGTTCGAACGCAAGTCAACGTCAACTGATGAAACGAGACAGATGAGACGGTCCGACTTGTGACAAGTGTAACGCTCACTGAGGCAACATTAAAGATGGTTGATGAATTGACTGACATTTGGTATGATTTCATTGCTGACTCATATAGAAATCACTCAAATATTGACATGAAGGCCTTTTTTCAAGCTGTAAAGGAGGGAAATACGGAGCAAGTGAAACGTGCGTGGCTCAGTGGCATGGAAGTAAATGTGACAGATGAGCTTGGACGCACATCGCTGCATGTTGCCGTGGAGACGGGCCAATTGGGGGTTATTGAGTTGCTACTGTCCGCTGGAGTCAATATTGACGTGATGGACGCACAAGGTCGATCGCCAATTAGTATTGCACAGGAGAAGCAACAATTTGTTATCTCGGAGATGCTGCGTGCGCATCAGCAGAAGAAACTCATGAGTTGTCACGTCATGAGCAGTGAAGAGGAGCAGAATATCGCACTGGCGTTCCGAGTGACGAAACGAGGAGATACCGACAAACTTAAACAATTGGTGCCAGAATTGGTACGACCGGATATGAAAGATTACGACCTGCGAACATTGCTTCATGTTGCTAGCGCCGAAGGTCAGTTACAAATTGCCAAGTATTTAGTCGATTGTGGTGCAAATGTAAACTTGCTAGATCGATGGGGAGTCTCACCCTTATCAGAGGCCGTGACTTTTGCCCACAACGAACTAGCCAAGTTCCTCATTGCAAATCACGCTACAGAGAGTGGATTTAGAGCTACAGTAGCTGTCGGTCACATCGACACTGCGACGCTGACTGGAGCGCTGGAATTTACGCTTCGAGTCATCACGCGGGTAAGCGACTGGAAATTCTGACGGGATGTAGTGGTTATGCTGTTGCTTACGTTGATGGGTGCGCAGGACCCATGGCTGATTGGACAGGTGCATTATCCAGTACTGGACGACAGCAACGACTGCGTTCTTGTCACGCACAGTCTTTGGCAGAAGAACAGTTCCGTTTTCCGTCGACACACTAAATCGGGATCAGTGCTGTCTCGAAGAGCTTCCACGAATCGGCCTAATGATACGGCAGCACTGCAGGCTGATGCTATTCAGACATATCGGAAAGTGTCGTCCATAGTCATGATTGATCCTGGCCAGGGTCACATTGGAAATGTCTTCAGTGGGCAACACCCGGAGTGGCTTGATTTGCACGCCGCACAGCAGTCGCAGTTCTTTCTTCTTCCACATGCTCGACGAGCAGGGATCCAAACTGTCGTCTCCGCTCCGATGATTTGCAAAATGTCGACGGTTGCAGTACTGTCTTGGTCCTCTGACCAAGCCATGTCTGAAAACCAGGATGAATTGCAGCGCATCCAGCGAGTCATTCGTTCGGTAATTATTCTCTCCACCCTTCGACAGGAATTGCTTGCTGCCGCCTCCTCTTGTAACATCGGTGTGGGGCGCATCCCTCGATTTCAGTACTGTCAAATGCTGGATAATGCTATTACAGCGAATGGCGAGCTGACAGACTCGACGGTTTTGCGCGAAGACTGTAAGTGTTTTGGTATTCTCCTTTGATTGCTGCGCTTTTACGTACTGATGTGTTCTTGGTGAATAATAGTGAATGTTTGTGACACCACTCCGCTCGCGCTTGAATGGGGATTATTTGACATGGTTGACACGCTGGCTACCTCGATGAGCAGCGAAGACCACGCAGCAGTGGTTCCAATCTTGCGCTCGCTAGTGATACTGCTCCACAACGGGCTCTTTGACGATGCATTGCGTGACCGCGGCGATGGTGAGCATCGTGAGCATCGTGAGCATCGTGAGCATAACGATCAAAATTCATCTCTGAAGCACCTGATTGAGGAGTGCGATGGCAAGATTCGAACCAAGTGGGCTTTGCTGGGTCATGTCAAGTATTATTTGCAGTTTCTGGATGCTGTGAGTCCCACAGAGGCAGAGCTGTTCGTTGATGTCCACGAGCTCTGTAACAAAGTCGAGCGATACGTAAAGGAGCAGTCTGCGGGTGACGGGAAGGCAAATGACGACAGCGTCAGTTCCAGTAATACCGACGAAAAGGAGATTGGTGATGGTCAGGCAACATCGGCGTCTGCACCTGCTGCAGCACTCGAATGTGTTCTGTGCAAGTACAACGTTTCAGGTAAGTGATGGTGTAGATGTTAAAAAGACCAAGATCGCAAATGTAATTGCGTCTATTGTAGGGCACATTCACCCCGGTCGAGAGCCGATTCCAGCAACTCCTGCTTCAGCAAGAACGACTCCATTTCAGGCAAAAACTCCAAAGACTCCACAAGGTTAACACAACTTGATGTGTATAGACTGTTTGATGGTGTTAACCTGTCGTTTGTTTTGCAGGCGAAAAGCTGTTTGGTCACCCAGAAAAACCCAAGTCTCCTGTGTATCGGCAGATCGAGCGGGTTAGTTTGTCAACACTTCGGTTTTTAACCCAGCATGCGCTAATCTTTTGTCGTTTTACGTTAAAAGCTGCGGGAGAAACTCGAGAGCGAGTACGACGCTTTCGAGCGGAAAGCAGCACTTGCTGAATGTTGTGACGGAGCAAAATCAGTCACGTTCACTTCCAGCGATTTGTATGATGCCATTGGTTCTGCGCATGATACTCCGGCCACCCGAAGGAGTTCGTCAGCCGACAACAACCCTCGGATACAGCTGCTGGAGGTAATCAATGAGATTATGCACGATACGTCATGCGTGATAACGCGTGACCACCTTTTCGCGTTGCACAAGTGCCTCCTTCCGGCCTCAAGCGGGCAGGCTGGCGTTCTCCGAACTAATTTGGCTGTTGGATACGCGTCACCTCGGATCTATCGGGTGTTTCTTCCAGCTGGAGAAATTGAAGACGCACTGGACAACTTCATTGGCACGCTTAACGATGCCAGTTACTGGGAGCACCGGCCTCTACTCTGCGCCTACTATGCATTTGCAGTGCTCGTGTTCTACATCCACCCTTTTCACGATGGCAACGGACGTTGTGCTCGGTTGCTAGGCAACTTGGTATGCAAGAAACTCGGCTATCCCGCGTTGCTACGTGCTGCCGACAAAACGATTCAAGTGGCGGAATTTTTGCAAAAAGCGATTGTGACGATGGAAATCATTTGCAATAATCGTCGTCAAACCCGTCAGACACGGATGCTCTCCAGTCGTAGAGAAAACTCCTCCATGTGGTTCTAAATCTTTTCTACGTACCGACAGATAAATATTGTTAAAAGCATACAAATATTTGTCGAAATTCCCTTAACGGTTTCATCATTATTGTCTTCCTTTATAGGGGACCGTTGAGTGTTGTATAGAGAGAGGTGTTAAAATATCGATACACCAAGACGATTTAGCGACATAATCAAAGACTTGAGAAATTTTCAAATATATTTAGATTAGCATTACAACCGTTTGTACTTCATAAGGACCTTTTTTATCTATTTTTCTAGTAATTTTTCTTGATTCTGAATATCTGATGGGGCTTGTAAGTCTTGTTTATTTGATACAAACGATAACATTGAAGTTGAATGAGTGAAATTCGATCAGAAAAACGGTTCGAACAGCCTGTATCTGGCCATAAACTACACGACCATGTTGAATATCAGACGTGTAGCGTATCCTATAGAAATCAGCATCAGACGTTGCTAATGAATGGTCAACCAATCATTCCTTGCTGTTGGACTATGAGGCCTTTCAAATCGTATCAACCAATCGAAGAAGTCTCAGTGGCGATTTAAGCTGTCGAGAGTTTCGTGACCTCTGTTACAATTCGATCCAGGAATATCTGGTCAGATTTGAAATCTTACAGTCTCTATTTTAATGCAAGAAGTGTCATTGCAAGTGTCACGTGGGATTGCATAGTGAATTTCCCATTCCCAACTGATTCAAGAACTTGCTTCATACCCGAGACCCATTAGAGAAAAGATTTACTCATGCGTTTCAACATCTTCTTTACGTTATTCGTGGCCACGTTTATCGTGAGCTGCGACAGCTTCATCAGTGCCAAAACGTATTCTCTGGACGACCGGACTTTTGATAGCACTGAAGTGCACCACCTTCGTGGAAATGACGATATCCAAGAGGAGAGAGGAGGAGAGCTAGGGGAAGCCATCTCACACGGATTAACTGCGGTTCGATCATCAGCATCTCCGAAATATGTTGATATGACTGCTGACGAGCTCACGGATCTAGCAAAGAAGATTTCCGACACGCACAATTTACTGAAACTCAGTAACACGGACATGGCGAAATTAATGGCAGAACTTGCTGTTGTGAAAAAAGAAAAGAAGGAAAAGTGGCCGATGATCACCAAAGTTTTTATTGTATTAGTCGCTAGTGTTGGTATTTCGTTTGCCTTGTCCGCACTTTTCGAGTTGCTGACACCGTACGGTGCCTAGTTACCAACATTTATGGCATAGACCAGAACGGCGACTTTGCGAAAAAAGTTGTCAAGCTATAATGTGTTGTTACTGTATTACCGAATACGAAAGCTGGTTCTTTTGTGAAAGACCAACTTTTGCTTGGAGTTGTTGTCTGTAAATATTGACTGTAAGACAAATATTTATAGCTTTCGTTACGAAGTATGCTCGTTTTATTGCTAATGGTGAAGGTTAGCACTGCCAGTAACAAGTAATACACGTCGACGAATTCATTGTATCTGATGCAGTCCCTGTCTAATGGTGTCTTCAAACGAGTTGAATGTTTGAGACAACTTTTCGTTCCGTGTCTAAATAGCCAAAGTGGCCTACAATAACCATGGATAAAATCACATCCTCTACGCGTTGACATGACTAAAGGGTCATGGCATCTGAATAAATCGACTAGCATAGAACTTTCCTAAGCAAAATTGACCAGCTTAGAAAGCTTCGGATTACTGTAGATATATAAATAACTGTATAGGCCGACAAACGACAGGTCTAGACGAAGCTTTGTATATAGCTAGAACTCTTAAGTCTCTTAAAATTGTACATACTGTAACTAAAGAGACCAGCAAGAGCACGTCTTTTAATGTCAACAAATGGGTCATCAGAAATTACTTTCCTGCACTTAATCCAATCAAGGAGTCATATAAACCTACTATTCGACTCATACGTAATCTTTGTGATGCGTATTGCGCTAAACGGCAGTCGAGTCATCAATTGGGCGTGCCGTGACAAATCAGGCATCTCACTCTACTCTCGTCTTTACGGATATCGTATCATCCCATGACATTGTCAACCAGAACTTGAACACCAATCCGTACGGCTGCTTGGAATCCAGTCTTACCCATTCTAGACTCAAGAATCTAATGAACTTGGCTAATTCACATCAATTTATTATCATGAGCTGTAAGATTTGTTTCCTTCTCCAATATTACCTGTAGGTCTCCTACGAGACTCAGTCTTGTACACCGTCTGCGCTTCACTTTTTCCAATTTCCTCCCGTCCACCTTATAAGAGAGAGTCACAGACCGTCTATTTTAGCTATTTTATCAACTACGACAATGTCAAGTTGTGTGAAAATTCGTTTCATCTATCATGACACCATGACGCAATCTTCTTACGCCTCGCTTTCTACTTCTGCTGACTAAAGACTTTGAGCTTCATGGCGGAACAGTTCCAACAAGGGCCCGTAATCCAATTTGTTGACCAAGTCCGGGGTTCATCTCCGTGTATGCACCCTAAAACAGGAAAGCTGGGCTGCTCTCGCTCTCGAAGCAATCTGATTCAGAGAACAGCAGACGCTTGACTACGAGTTTAATTACCCCTGCAGTTGTCCACCCAGCGAGCCATTAAGACAAAATCCTGTGGCTTTCACCTCGAAGTCGACTTTCTCTGCTCTTCAAGTCAAATCTCGGGGTTCAACGTGCTCAAATCTGCCCAGATGCACCACAGAACGACCAGTATCTGGTCCAATGCTACTGTACAGAACCAACCAGAATTAGATCTCAACGCAAAATTCTGTTTGCCGGACGGGCTCAAGCTCAACAAAGTCCCCTTCTCTTTAGTCACGCGCTGCGCTGCCTCCTGTAGCACACACAGCAAAGATAAACCCTCCCCCTAATATCTTGGTCCCACAATGGGGACCTTCCGCCCATGATATAGGAGTCAGTTTCTAGGTTTCCTAGAGAGTCTCGTCTCTGTCTGTTGTGACAAAGACCAACAGTAGAACCTATTACATTAAATACTATGTCGACGTATTCACTCGATGTATCTGGTATATGATTTCACAAAGGTATAATAAATTGCTACTTGCTGCTTGAGGCTGATCCATTTTATTAAAGTATGGATGTTATAATTTTATGAAGGACTTGTTTAGACAGGTTCTACAGTAGATGACTTCCTGTAACTTTTTTCTCATGTTCGTAGAATTTTCTGAGATCTGTGTGTTTAAGAAGATTTTTGTTTAAAACAAATTCAGAACAATTTTAAATTTGTAAAATCTGGTCGGCTCATAAAACCTTCAGTTATGGCTGAAGTGCAAGTGGCCAGACAAGGTATTTCTAAGTCTTTGATCAAATATTGCCAATTTTTGTTGTCCAATCATTTATAAATAAAGAGACATCATTGCAAATGACGATCGATTGGCCAAACGTTATGGTTTAGAGATACCTAAATCTGTTCTGTTACTAACAGCTTCAAAAGCTCGGAATCTGGCTCGGTTATCTGATCCGATTAGAAATCATCGACTCGCTCCCATGAGAAATCTGTTGTGTTTCTCGTCCCTCTCGGTATTTAAAAAAATTAATTTTTCATTACCGATTGATTCATTCCAAAATTTGCTTCGTACCCGAGACTCATCGAAGAAATTGATCCATGCGTTTCAGCATTTTGGTTGCGCCTGTTGTGGCCGCGTTTGTTGCGAGTTGTAGCAGTTTTGTCAGCGCAGAAGTCGCTGCTCTCGATGGCTACACCTACGACGGCAAGGAAGTGGTCCGTCGTCTTCGAGAAGATAGTGACGTTCAAGAGGAGAGGTACCCTGGTATTGAATCCATTAAAAATGGAATAGCACGAATTCAAAAAAGTGTATCCGGTAAACTTAATATTGGTCCAGAAAGTGAACCCTTGTTGCAAAGTGCAGCAGCATTGGATCATTCGCCGGCCGGTAAAGAACTGGAGAATATCAATTCAGCCCATCCTACATCCGAACAGAAAGTTGAAGGTCAAGCAACGGCTGAGGAAAATAAACCACCACCTCTAACTCCGTCGGAGGAAAAGCCTCCTCATGAATCACAAGGAAAGAAAGAGGAAAAAGAGCAGGCCAAGTCACCACCAAAATTGGAGGAAGACGAGAAAATTTCTGATAAAGATGTCAAAGTTTGGAACGAGTTTGTAGAGAATCTGAAGCCCGAGCACAAAGATTTGTTGAAAAAACGCAAAATTAATGTGGAGCTTATACAGAAAGGAGATACAAACGAAGTCCTTAAAGTCATGGACTTAGTTGTCAAGGGGACGAAGAAGGAAAGGGGATTTTGGACCAAGTTTTTTATCTACTGCTTATATGCAATTGGTCTCGCCTCTTTCATCTTTGTCGTTATCCAATTCATAACCTTACACTCAAAGCCACGGGCAAGTGTTTAGAAGCTGTCCATTATCTCTAATGGTCCCGGCTAATTTAGCTGCTAGGAAAGATGGAAGTACAGCTTGCTTGGACTGTTTGAAGGTGTACATGTGTAGGACGCTTTGATCATGGACAGATGACTTGCTTCTAAGTTATGAATATACATTCTTTTTTTGCATTTTGTTTGCGTTCGACATGGATGTTACTTGCTTTTACTCCACTTCATACAAAGATTAGAAATACTTTGCCGTGTCTAATGGTCTCGAGTTGCATTCGTTCTACTTGTATGTTGTACATATAGGTGGTGTGCTCAGTAAAACTTACATTCTCTTTTCGTGACTGCGGACCGATGTGTCAATGGCCTGACGGGCTTTATGATTCCTTTGGAACAAAGTGGCTGTTACGTCTCACGTGCAGCAAATTCGATCAAGACTCGAAAGGGCTTACATCTCGATGTATTGAGTAAGTTGAGTTCACAGCACACGGAGTCCTATCATGTCACGATCATCAGGACTACGGCAGCAAAGTGTATCGGTTTGTGTGCAAGAAGAAAGTCAGGATGCTGTTGCCTCGATGCAGCCGCGAGGTGATTTGTATCTGGCCCGACAGCAGCAATGATGAAGCAGTTGGCGAGACATCCGCAATCATTGATCTCATCCAAAAGGCGAAACTTATGGTCCAAAAGACTACTTCTGGAAACAACAATGACATTCCAACGCTGTTGTGATCACTTTGGAATGGCCAGATACGAGCGTATTCGAGCTTGCACAGAGTCCGTCGCGTTGCCCGGAACCGGTTGTGATGGCGAATCCAAAATGCGATCATGATTGCTCAACGACGCGTTTTTAAGGAGCACAGACTCCAGGGCAAGGTCGTAGAAGACGAAAGAGATTGACCCGATGGAGAAAATGTACAAGTGGGTGATTCCAGCAACTATCGTAGCTGTGGACTCAATATCCATGCAGTCACAAGGTGGACGTGCATTCGTGCCTGTGGTCACAAGACAAGCATGGAATGTGTTGAGGCGCTGCACCTCACAACAGCTTGCGACGAAAAATGACAGCGGAGCTACCGTCTGTGGACACCTCGTGCAGGTATAATGTCATTGAAGAAGTTTTTAGTGCGTGACAAGTGCAGACCCCAGCGATAATGCTGCTACGCGATGATAGTACACGTAGCACCAAATTGTGGGCACGAAGTTGCGATGATGCGTTCTGATGAGGTGGACAGTGTGAGTGTGGGCACGAAGTCGCGATGATGCGTTCTGATGAGGTGGACAGTGTGAGTTGCCATGAGGGTCGGTTAAAATACCTCGTTGGACTTTTGGAGCTGTGGTAGTAGATCATGGAGCCGTGCAAACTGTCTGCAAATTCTGCTGAATATGCCAAGGAGACGAGATTACTATGCTCAGAAGGGCATTCGTTTGCCTTACGCCTTTGCAATAGAGACATTCCGTAAGATTGTCCTTGTTGCAGATCAACCTGCTTGAATGCTGCGATTGCAAGACGCACAGCGTATCTTGGAGCGACACAAAAGTGAACTGTTGGTATATCCAAAGTTGGCTCGATTTCTGCCAACTATAGATGGAATGACATACTGCTATGAGCTCGTCTAGCAACGCATTTTTTGTGGTTCGAAGAGATCAAACAAGGTTTGAATTCGAGTGGCACAATGGTTCGATCGTCCTCTTCTTGCCAGTGAAAAGTGTCAGTATCTGTCGTATTGAATCAGAAGTTGCAAGCACATTCGACCGCCAAGTGACATTTTTTTAGAGTCCACAACATTTGACGGAATGTAGTTTATGAAGTATCTCTAAATGACTTCGAGCGTGTTGCGGGCCAGCGGAAAGTATGTATGTTACTTGGTTGCGATTACACATTCAAACACCTGAAAGCAAGGAAACGAAGGAGTGAACTAACGAAGTTGGGTGAGTCGACAGTCATCTCACGGATACAATGCATTATATCGCGATGCAAGGTCCTGGAAAGATAGCAAGGCGGATTTTACGGCTTCCTAATGTTTCAAGTTCACTGAGTTGAGGTCACTTATTGGAACGGGTAGAATAGTTTGGAGTGTCTGGATGGATAGTGCAAGTTGATGAGCCACCTCAAACGATCAGCTTTGACAAGCTGGAAGGAGTAGGAAATGTGAGAGAATCGCACCCTGATGTTGTGATATTGATGCCTTCCACATGTCGGAGAAAGACTGAAAGCTACGACTGGTAGTTGATTTGGTGAGTCCATTGTACAAGAAGTGAACGTTTGCATCTATGGAAAGCCGTTGTCGACCGGAACGGCGATGTAATTTTCCCCACGTATCGAGAAATGTATGCTACTAAGCTGAGGTTCATCTCAACATGAGTTGCAAATACTAAACAGGCCCAGCTTGCGTGCGACCTTTTGGTGGCGCTAAACGAACAACCGTTGGAGCCAAGGGGAAAGTTGAAAGAGGAGGGAAGTCTGATACTGGCGCTGGAGCTGCTCGCTGGACGGATGCAAGAGACTACCAAGCATGATCAAAACTTGAAAGTATGGGATCGTAGGAAGGGGGCTATGCGCTTCTGCTCGTCATTGTTGCGTTTGCACGGTCAAGTCAAACCCGTTCATCGGATGATCAACAGAAAAAAACCTTGAGAAGTTTTTGTTTCACTATCCAGAAGCAAGCGGCTTCTGGCTGAATGATTTTGAAGAGCGGCGGGTAGACAACCGTCGTCAAACAAGTCGAGTTGGCTTAGTCATTTCTGGCTTGGCACCAGTAAATAAAGTCGAAAGTGTCAATACGATTGTCACTCAGATACAATGGAGAAGTCATATTGAAGCTAGTGGGATTGATGAAGGTGAAGCATGCAGTAAATGTTTATGCAAGCACGCGGCGGTAAAATGCAGCAATTATCGAAAGGAAGAAGTCAGTAGAAACTCGATGGCTTTCAACTATCACTTGGTGGGGCAATCGTGGTACTGACAAACACAATAGTTGCGCGATTGTTCGCCAATTTTCTGAAAGACTCGATGAGTTGTCGAACAACTTCTTTCGTCGAGTGCACTGCTCAGAAGTCAAAAGACAATGAGTTTAATATTGCTGCAAGTAACCGGCGGTGTTATTTTTCATTGACAAGGCGTCACTCAATAGGTTATACAAGCCGAGAATGCCTCTAGATCAGCCTCTCCAAGTATTATTACCTAACCGATATCTACTAAAGCACCTAATAGTACAATATACAAGTAGAACGAATGCAACTCGAGACCATTAGACACGGCAAAGTATTTCTAATCTTTGTATGAAGTGGAGTGAAAGCAAGTAACATCCATGTTGAAAGCAAACAAAATGCAAAAAAAGAATGTATATTCATCAATTAGTAGCAAGTCAACTGTCCATGATCAAAGCGTCCTACACATGTACACCTTCAAACAGTCCAAGCAAGCTGTACTTCCATCTTTCCTGGCAATCAAATTAGCCGGAACCATCAGAGAAGATGGACAGCTTCTAACCACCTGCCCGTGACATTAAATTCCTGGTCATGGAATGGTATACAACGTAGATGCAAGATACGAGACCGATTGCAGACGCCAAGTAGACGACCAATTATTTCCGACTCCTCCTTTCCTTTATCATATTCTTGACAACGTATTGCATAACTCTGATAACTTCGTCCACATCTCCGTACTTTAGTTGTTCAAACTAATACCTCGTTTCTCTATCAACCCACTTTCCTTAAAAGTAAGCGTATTCTCACAATCCTTCAAAACACTTATACAGAGAAATGAAATGTGAAAATTACGCTTCCTTCTACGTAGTTTTACGTGGGAGCAAAGGCGCCGTCTCGTCCTCTGCGTCCATTAACATTTTAGATGTAGGAAATTTCTTTTTAATCTCTCCCTCTTTCTGAAGTCTCTTTAATTTTTCGGTCTTCAAAAAGTCTTTCAATTTTTTACCTTTGTGAAATTTAGCATATAATGCTGCAGCCTCTGGAGTATAACCAGATCTAGAGACCCAACGAGGTTTCATTTTAGAAATTAATTCATTCAAAAAATTGAACCCAGGTAGCAATCTCTCCTCTTGAACGTCTCTATCTTCTCGAAGACGACGAACCACTTCCTTGCCGTCGTGGGTGTAGCCATCGAGAGCAGCAACTTCCGCACTGACAAAACAGCTACAACTCGCAACAAACGCGGCCACAACAGGCGCAACCAAAATGTTGAAACGCATGGATCAATTTCTTCGATGAGTCTCGGGTACGAAGCAAATTTTCGAATGAATCAAATGTCAAATGAAAAGTGAATTTTATAAATACCGAGTGGTACAACATCACGATAAGTTTGTTTACTTGATGATTTCTGATTGGATTATATAATCAAGCCAGATTCATATCATTAGACTGTTGAGTAGGCTGTTTTTACAGAACAATTTTAGGACCTTTTTCACTGTATGAAAAGGTACTTTTGATTGGCCAAACGATCTGTCATTCCTATATTGTCTCTTTTTATCAATAAGTGGACAACAAGTGGCAATATCTTACAACTGACTTGTAGATATTGGCCATACCAAATGATTGGACCCTAAATACTCCAATTATCCATGCTTTTATAAGCCTAAATATTGTTTATTTACTTACAGAGGGTTAACTGTGAACGAGGAAGTTAATGGAAAAGTATATTAGCTCTTATAAAAACCCTACAAGTATTTTAGCCAATCAATTCATGCTTCGAAGAAGCAATCTAAAAAGTTCTTCTGTAGCCGTTTTTATTTCTGAGCCCTCAACATCTGCCAGTGGTGTTGTCCACTCTAAACAGTGTTGGTCACATCAGCACGCCGATCCGCTGAGTTTCCGTCATCAACACTAAACACATACTCCAATTACCTATTTGTCAATTGTTTTTTCACATATGTCCGGATCGTGGGTGTGCTTAGGTGAATCGTTCATAATATATTCAAGATTCTGCATATCCCAGACCGATTATACGAGAAAAGACGTGGTTCCGACCAATTGTTTTTTTTTTCACATGTGAAGCATCTTAACGAGCAAAAACCAGGTGACAAGAAGATAAAAAAGAGGTGACGGTGACAAGAAGATAAAAGAAGATGGTGAAGAAGTGCTTAAAAGTAGCAGGAGCTCGAGATACAGATGCAGATCTCTCTTTTAAAATGCTTTACGGAATTGTTCGAGGTTTTTGACGATTTCGCTTTGACACGTTTGACGCTAATGGATTCTTGACGCTTGAGGAGAGTGAGTTTCTCAAGAAAAGTCAATGTAAGAAGCTTTTACGAAGACTGAATGACTGTAATTGGCTCTCTAGAATGGAGCTGAATACTTACCACACGATTCATTAACTGGGACGATGGGCAATAGCCATATTGATGGTAAGTCCTTATCTGCACGAAGAAGAAGTCATGCAAATACCGGCTCAGCTACCGCTGCAAAACACACCTGAGGTACTGACCAAGTGGACGACGTGGACATTTATAAGCCAGGAGGTTACACACGGGCGCCTACAAGCACACACGGGCGGCAACCTCGCTCTTATCGTCGATTATCAAGCCAATAACCGTCATCGATCACATGATCGATGTGTCGGAAACTGATTAACTGGAGCTGGCGAATTTCTACCAGCAAACACGGAACACGCTGCTTGTTTTCACAGCGCAGTCCGCAGCTACATGGGTTCTCTGGAACCTCCCATCCTCCATCAATAACATGCACGCTTTCAAGGCGCTACAACGCCCATCGCGTTAAGCAAAAGCTATATCCAGGGCTTGCTGCGGTAATCACCAGGCAACACCACTAGGACGGCTTCCAGGACGCTACCACTTCTCGATGTTGCAGTCACCGGCACATCTCTGGGAACACGGACACACGCTCACGAAATACCAGGTCTGGGTATGCTACAGAGTAGCTATCAATCAGTTGAATCTGTACTTCCTGGGACGCAAGATGGACTCGACATACAAGAGGCATCTGGCCTGCGCCGAGCAACATGAACGACTCCTCCATATTTTCTGGGACGGCGTCGGTGCGTTTAAGTCTTAGGCACCTTTATGTTGAGATACTAAAGCAGACGAAGCACCAAGCATCTTCATTCACGAGCCTAGCAAGCCTCTACACGAAAAATGAATTTCCCGAACAAACGTCTTGATCCAGCACCATCACAAGAATCAGCGCTTCGGTTCCTCTATATGATCGAACCAACGCTCACCCATCTCATAGCGCAGGAAAAATTGTATGGAGTATTGCAATTGTTTGTGCTTTGCTGGCAATCAGAAGTCTTTGGAATCGGAAGAATCTCAAAATTAGGAATTCGTACAGTAACTACGAACCATCCGACCGAAGCAAACATAGGGCCATGTGCCACTAACTGTGGACGATGTTATCTTGGAAATGGCTATAACAGAGTTTTTTGCATCAGATGTGTGGCCGAATTAGAGCTATGTCGAGAGCGAAATGTTGCCGTCTTAGAACCAATGCATGTGACGTCTCCAAGCGCATTTATGAATTGTCGAACACTTTGCAAGCAATGGCACAAGGCATGTCATTACTTGGCTCCCATTTTTGTGGCTCCAACTCGTATTGGTGGTAGCGCAAAATCGGTAAATCCAGAAGTTTTGAATATGTGGTGGCACCTTTGGTCGTGGCAACGCTTTTGCAGCTGCCAGACAGTACGAAAACTAGTGGACAATCTCGTGCAAGATATTACCGAGACCAACCACCAAGACAGACTCGGCTTGTATAACCTATTGAGTGACGCCTCGTCATATGAACAAAGATAGCGCCAGTTGCTTGTAGCAATATCAAACCTATTGTCTCTCGACTTCTGAGCACTGCTTTCGACGAAACTATTTGTTCGACAACTCTTCGAGTCTTTAAGAAAATTGGCGAACAACCGCGCAACTATTGTGCTTGTCAGTAGGTGAGAAGGTGAGGTATATTTAGGGTACGAACAGAGTTACCGTGGCAACTTTTACTTTAAGTACTAGGTGTAACTAGTCCTCGAACAGCCGAGCGCCATCGTGCAGTTTTGTCTCGAGATGATTTGGTTCCGTGGCATCATCGCGCGTCCCTGGGGTTTGTGGTTTTGGCTTGAGAGACCTCCAGCCAGTGGTTGACATCATGGTCAAGGAATGCCGAAGCCTCCGTGACAACACCTTCCTCCTCCTCACTATCGCTCATTTTGTTGTATGAGCGATAGTGATGTCCTAAGCTAGAGACACCGATATCGTCAGGAATTGATCTTACCTCTTGGAATAGCAGCGCCAGGTGTGGCTTGCGTGGAGGATGGTGCGTCCGAAGTTGCGAAAGCACAAGCGCACTACATGCAGAGGTAAGAAGCCGCTTACCATCGCTTGTCGAACTGTGTTTGTCAGTACCACGATTGCCCCACCAAGTGATAGTTGAAAGCCATCGAGTTTCTACTGACTTCTTCCTTTCGATAACTGCTGCATTTTACCGCCGCGTGCTTGCATAAACATTTACTGCATGCTTCACCTTCATCAATCCCACTAGCTTCAATATGACTTCTCCATTGTATCTGAGTGACAATCGTATTGACACTTTCGACTTTATTTACTGGTGCCAAGCCAGAAATGACTAAGCCAACTCGACTTGTTTGACGACGGTTGTCTACCCGCCGCTCTTCAAAATCATTCAGCCAGAAGCCGCTTGCTTCTGGATAGTGAAACAAAAACTTCTCAAGGTTTTTTTCTGTTGATCATCCGATGAACGGGTTTGACTTGACCGTGCAAACGCAACAATGACGAGCAGAAGCGCATAGCCCCCTTCCTACGATCCCATACTTTCAAGTTTTGATCATGCTTGGTAGTCTCTTGCATCCGTCCAGCGAGCAGCTCCAGCGCCAGTATCAGACTTCCCTCCTCTTTCAATTTTTCCTTTGGCTCTGCAACGGTTGTTCGTTTAGCGCCACCAAAAGGTCGCACGCAAGCTGGTCCTGTTTAGTATTTGCAACTCATGTTGAGATGAACCTCAGCTTAGTAGCATACATTTCTCGATACGTGGGGAAAATTACATCGCCGTTCCGGTCGACAACGGCTTTCCATAGATGCAAACGTTCACTTCTTGTACAATGGACTCACCAAATCAACTACCAGTCGTAGCTTTCAGTCTTTCTCCGACATGTGGAAGGCATCAATATCACAACATCAGGGTGCGATTCTCTCACATTTCCTACTCCTTCCAGCTTGTCAAAGCTGATCGTTTGAGGTGGCTCATCAACTTGCACTATCCATCCAGACACTCCAAACTATTCTACCCGTTCCAATAAGTGACCTCAACTCAGTGAACTTGAAACGTTAGGAAGCCGTAAAATCCGCCTTGCTATCTTTCCAGGACCTTGCATCGCGATATAATGCATTGTATCCGTGAGATGACTGTCGACTCACCCAACTTCGTTAGTTCACTCCTTCGTTTCCTTGCTTTCAGGTGTTTGAATGTGTAATCGCAACCAAGTAACATACATACTTTCCGCTGGCCCGCAACACGCTCGAAGTCATTTAGAGATACTTCATAAACTACATCCCGTCAAATGTTGTGGACTCTGAAATGTCACTTGACGGTCGAATGTGCTTGCAACTTCTGATTCAATACGATAGATACTGACACTTTTCACTGGCGAGAAGAGGACGATCGAACCATTGTGCCACTCGAATTCAAACCTTGCTTGATCTCTTCGGACCACAAAAAATGCGTTGCTAGACGAGCTCATAGCAGTATGTCATTCCATCTATAGTTGGCAGAAATCGAGCCAACTTTGGATATACCAACAGTTCACTTTTGTGTCGCTCCAAGATACGCTGTGCGTCTTGCAATCGCAGCATTCAAGCAGGTTGATCTGCAACAAGGACAATCCGACGGAATGTCTCTATTGCAAAGGCGTAAAGGCAAACGAATGCCCTTCTGAGCATAGTAATCTCGTCTCCTTGGCATATTCAGCAGAATTTGCAGACAGTTTGCACGGCTCCATGATCTACTACCACAGCTCCAAAAGTCCAACGAGGTATTTCAACCGACCCTCATGGCAACTCACACTGTCCACCTCATCAGAACGCATCATCGCGACTTCGTGCCCACACTCACACTGTCCACCTCATCAGAACGCATCATCGCAACTTCGTGCCCACAATTTGGTGCTACGTGTACTATCATCGCGTAGCAGCATTATCGCTGGGGTCTGCACTTGTCACGCACTAAAAACTTCTTC